TTATTTCAGAGGAATATAAAATATTAATATTGCAGCTGTGATCGGCGGTGCAGATGCACCAATTTTGAGTGTTAATGATGTTGGTTATAATAAATATAATTGAGTTTTGGATTTACGAGTTGTTGCAGTTTATTTTATTTGAATCTGTTGTAAAGAAGGGCAATTGCCCGAAACATCGCTTAAGTTCCTTTTATGGCAGTAGTATTATCGATGAATCTGTTCAGTTTTTACAGGGAATTTAGCAGCAGTGCGGTGTTTGTTGTGTGAGTGCTGACATCACGTGTTTGGCCATTCTTACAGTGCTCAAATTTGTTACAAATTTACACCCTTGGAGGACCTTTTGAAAATTAAATGTCATCACCAGAAACAAGCACGCTTTTTCTCCTTTCGTGACCCTATGGACTCTTTCCAGTACGTGGTGGAACTATAACACAGCGCAGAGGACTTTTACCATACCAGTTCCCACGTTCTAGTGTTTGTTTTAGCTGACCCTGCACTCTCATTTATGATGATGGCTGGAGAGAAAGAGAGACAGGCCCAGGCTCGGCTACATAACCCGGGTCGCCCTTGCAAAAGAGGGAATGTTTCACGTGTCTCAATGGGTTTATTTGATCTCATGGTTAAATAAATAACTGTCAACGTCAATACATACTTTAACCACAATTTACGAATAAGAATTATCAGCTGCTGTTTATTTTTGTACAATCAACTTGGTTAACCCATGTACAGTAATTGTGTCCGTATGCACTTCTCTCTGGCCCCTTCCCGTGTAGCGGCCTCAGGCTGCCCTACTTCCGCATCATTAGTGAGAAAATATGAAGTTTCATGTTTCGGTCACGCGCACTGCATTACTGCACTCGAGTGAGATGGTTTCAGACATGTAATGCAAACTCAGCGACGTCACGAGAGCTCAAAAACGCATATCACCGTAAATTAAGTCAAAATTTTTCTTCCAGCTTGAGGTGGAGAGATCTGGGACGAAGTCTTGGCACAGAGGCACGTCATTTGGGATTGCGAATTTGTTTTTCTTGAATATATAAGACATTTTAAAATCTCGCTCTAGGAGAAACGTTCGACCAACACGTAGAGCAAAGTGTTACACGCAAAGAAATAAAGTAATGTTCATAGACTGATGGATAAAATTACATAGACATTGTCTTCTCCATTAATGTTTATGGGCATTCCATTTATCATGATAGTGCATGGACGTTCTTTTTCTGTGAATCACTTTAGTTTATTCTGGAAAAGTGGGCTTGGACATTACTCGTCGCTCAAAGGTTATACAGGGTTTTTCAAAAAGATGAACCCAATTTCAAAGCAGTATATTTCAAGATGGAAACATGTTACAATTACACATAAAGTTACAAACGGTTTAACGAGTTATCAAGTTTTACTAACCATTTTAAAAATGCTCTAACGCCTCTCAAAGTGTCTTCTTCCACTGAAGTCACCGCTGCCGTGAATCTGTTTTTGAGGTCATCCAGATTAGTCGCTAATGGTGGCACAAAAACACCGTCTTTGACGTATCCCCACAAGAAAAAGTCGTAGGGTGTGGTGATGTCTGGGGATGTTGGGGACCAAGAGTGTAGCGCCAAGTCTTGGGGTCCCGTGCGACCTATCCAACGTTGAGGCAGTGTGTCTTGCGAATGACTGAGGATAGGGGCTGTTTGTGCGCTGGGAGAGGCATCGAGCGGTAATCATTTAAAACTCTATGCCCGCCCTTTCAAGTGGTAAGAGTTTCATTCATGGGCGGTTCGTGGTTGCAGAGATATAGCGATTTCAAATCGAGTCCATCATTTTAAACACCCTGTATCATACACTACTAGGCTATCCAGGGAATGTACATCATAAAACAGTTATTTAGTCTTCTTCGTATAGCTGTTGATGTAGAGCAACAACTAAAATTGTACATTGTGGCTGAGCCAGATAATTGCATCAGGTGTAGCGGAGTGCATCGCCGTTACGATGCCCCCTTCGTATTTGTGAATCGGTCATTGAGCCATTTTATGTTCCATTGGCTATTCTGGTTGACCACAGTGGCACACCGGAGAGTTTTTATATTTTCCATTTGTCATTAAGTATCTGCATCTGCCATGGTTTGTGCGGCTGTGGTTGAAATGGTTGCCCATGTGCTTCGTGGAAGATCAAAGCCAGATAACCCATGTCCTATATTACTCAATTTGGCTTTCCATCATCAGGGTTGAAATTGCATCAAGGGTTAAGCGCGTGGTCCCCAAAATGGCTTGAGCGATTTCAAGCGGTGGTTTGGGACGTTATTGGCGACATCCTCCTGGTGGATGTAGAGGCGGACGTTGGACATCCCGGAGGATTGTGGCATCGTGGCGAATGGACGTGGGGAGCGATGGGGGCAGCTGCCACAGTGGCTAGCAGGGGCATCTTGGCAGGTGCGAGGGGGCTGGTGGCCACTCCAACCTTTAACTTAATTACCACGAGGCCACTGCGATGGATCTAACACAAACAAGCCCGAGATGTCAAACGCATTCGGCATTGGCTTATAACACCGTAAGTATTCAAAGCACCGTGCCATAACCCTATTATCTGATTTACAAGACACTCCGGAAAGTAAAACGCACCCCAAACACTTGTGTCCGGTGTCAAATAGTTATACAAATATAGCCACAACACAGCCACCGGCTTATAAGTACACGTTCGTTTTTATTAATAGACGCACTGTAGTTGAAAAGTAGACGTTTGCAAGTGTCTTATAATCGGGAGAATACGGGCGCACGAGTAGAGGCAGTCGTGGTATAACACAGGAAACGTTAGGTGGCCTAAACCTGTCGATCACATTAATAACAAGCCGGCCGCCAGAGGGCGTCTAAGGACATTCATTGGACACGAGCGGGAAGATTGGAGCAGCAAACGACAGCATCCACGGCATGCGCTGGCGCCAAATACCCCAAACGCAAAGCTCTGCGGCGCTATACAGTATTCGCGTGTCATCGACCCATCAATGAGCGTTTACGCGGTTAAAGATTGTGACGGATTGTGGCAGGAGGCCTTCAACCAAGCAGGAGGTTTTGTATTCTAGATTTGAAGTTTTCTTGACTGCAAGGATTCATACTCTTTGGTTTTTTCGGTAAAGTCACGTAGGTAAAAGTAAATAATAATACAATATTTTTTATTAATTTTTTATTTTTATCTACGTGACTTTACCGAAAAAACCTAAGAGTATGAATCCTTGCAAGTCACGAGAGCTTCAAATCTAGAATCAGGAGGTTTTGATCTCTCATCATGAAGGTAGGCCGCGTCGCCACGGGCAACCGTGGACATGACGTCATGTATGTGGTAGGATGACGTCATCGCCTATATAAAAATGACGTCACACCCCGGCGGGTTCCGGCGGGAAGACGCGGGAAAGGGGGTCTCAGTCGGCTGTCCCGTTTCGGGTCGGCGAGCAGCCGCGGAACCCGGGAATCGAGGACGGGGGGACGGGGGGACGGGGGGACGGCAACAGCGGCGGCTTTTCCTGTCGATCATTCCGGACGACTTCGCCGGGAAGACATGGCGCAGTCGGTGGTGGTGCAGGGTGCGTATTCTAATCGGCGCGGGAGCGTTTGGATTTACGAGTCACGCATTACGTGACTCTTCTTCCCCGGTGTGACTTCGTATCGGTCGCATGAGTTTCTAAATCGAATCTTAGCGCTGGCGTAGTTGTTAGCGCGCTGCTGCTCTGTGAACGCGGCGACCTGGGGTTGTTTCCCGGTCACGGCTGCCATCAGTGGCGAGTGACGGCAAAACCGGCATGGGGGAGGGGAGGGGGGTCACCTAACAGTGGCTTGGCAGAGGCAACTTTTAAGTGAAGAGCGAATTATTTGTACATACGACGATTAACCTTGTAAAGAAGAATCCGTATGCACTTCCTGCACTGTCGTTCGTGACTTCGTAAACCGATTCGCGTGCGCCGCCTTGGCTTGCACTCTGCGTTGTCTCGTTGGTACAGACTTTGTCGTTTGTGCGGCTTGTAGAAACATGAGCTGTGTGTGCGGCAAAGACGAAGGGATATCCACCGTGGAGCCTCTAACTCGGGGCAAGCGTTGTTACATCACACGCCGTCGCTAGATATGCTTAACAGGCGTTAAGCGTGTTTATTTTTGTTTATTCCTCGGCTCCCTACGAATACTGTAGACCAATGTGATTTCGCGTGCGAATGGTCTCGTAACAATACACATGCGCATAATGAGTAAGTGCTTAGTAAGCAATGTTAGTGCTTTAAATAACTTGGGCAGTCCATTAATGACGGAACGCTGCATCGGTAACCATAACAACCGCCTCGTGTATCGGCTGTCTCGAGCACGCCCCACCCCCTTGTGACGTCACGCGCTGGTGCCACGGGCGTGTGAAGTTTGTCTGAGAATTATTGACATGTAAACACCGTTAAAGGTGGACTTAAAGTCGAGATTGAACACTGATTTATTTATAATCGCGTTTTGTGTTTAGTTTGTTGCCCCCCTCCCACACCTCCGATTAGCACGGTTGGCTACGTATGGCACGAAAAAAGTTCAACATACACACGTGTGAAAAAAGCAATTCCTGAATTTTAAGACCCGCCGAATTCGGGCCACATGCTACATATTGTCCACTGGCAGGTATGGCCCAGGTGATTCTTGGTTTTCTTTCGGGTTAGATTATAGTGTAAGTGTAATGTCAATTAGTTATAACCCTCCACCACCCGACACAGCCAAACAAATCAAGTTGTCACGTGGGCAAATGTGCCAATTTATTTTGTTTTGCATCAAACCGGTTTACGTTGAAAAGCCAGCACAAGTGTGACCGTTTTGAAAGCCTACGAGATATATAATACAAAATGGTGATTGTGTGTGTGTGTGTACGCTTTGCAGTGGGACAGTGTGGAAATCAGATTGGCTGCCGCTTCTGGGACCTGGCATTGCGGGAGCATGCTGCTGTCAACAAGGCAAAGCCTGCAGTCCGCCACGCTTGGCTTCCACAGCACACATGGGCAGGAAGGGTCCATAAAACTGTTCTTCCAAATAATTTTGGCACGCCGCATCCATATCGCCTTAGTTTGCACCTTACCTTCTTGTAGGATTATCAGATTATAGGATATAATCATTATATTGTGAATGTCAATATGTTCAGGCGCTAAATGTCAATGTTGAGGTTTGCTAGCCACGAGAGGACTTCAGGAGAGAGTTTGTGTTGTGTTGCTGTTCCTTCGGGAGCATACTGCAGTGGTTTATTATATGGTCCATAGTTTGTGTGTCATGGCCACAGTCACAATGTGGTTTGTTTTTCATTTCATCCAGGAAGGATATGTGCTCATCGGCCTGTCGATGTTATGATGTAGTTGATGGTACACCAGTGTCTTCGAGGAATGTCAAAGCCAGGAAGCGCGATGTTTGGGCCTCGGATGCAGTTTTTATTCTGGAAACCCACGTTCCACTCTCTTCGCCAGAATTATTCGGCATGTAGGTGAGAATCTAGGATGGTGACAGCACGATCCCGGAAGGGGCATTGGGACTTGATGTGCATTGTGCTATTTAATGATCCATCTAGCAATTTCGTTTACAAGGCTTGAGCACAATCCACTTCCACTGAGTAGAACCGTGAGAGGGGGGCAGTTGGTAGCACATTAGCTGAGGCGCCCCAGATCATTCGGGCAAGTTTCCGTAGGGGGCAATTCTTGGTTTGGTCTTTTCACAGATCTATTGTATGTGGGACTTGAATCGCATCCCCCCAGATATTTTGGAGTGGGGTTGGAGCGCACTGGGCTACCACAGAAGGATACATCAAGGGTGACATCCGCTGCATGATTGTGCAAGTGGAAAGCACTTCTGGTGGTTTTGAAGGGATTTGGTTGTAGACTGCACTGACGATAATGTCATTGAATTGCTTATTCTTGAGGGTGTTTTGTTGCTTAAGTTTTAGTTTTTAATTCTTAAACACAAATTTTCCCACTGAATCTGCTTTTGTGAATAATTTCCCAAAATCACCCCTATCGAGAATAAAATAAGTGGTACATCCCACTAATTGCTAAAACATGTATTTTTCATAATAGCTTCTTTGGGGCATAACATGCATGCAAAATAAGTTAAGAATATTTACATTTCAACACGGAAAATTCGTATTTTAATTATTTTACACTTTATTCTCAATTCACACATGAACCATTACCACTGGATTGTTTGTTTTTGTTTCAACAGAAAGGGATTTATGACGAAGCCCTGAGCAGCTTTTTCAGGAATGTGGACACTCGGTGAGTAAGCTTAAGAGTAATGACTACTGTACAATTCTCCAATGTGTTTTTGTGTTGTTCGGCATGATGCGTGAAATTTCGTTCCACATGTTCGGAGCTTCTTCTTGAACTGAAGGAAGCAGCTCACATTTTCCCTCGATTATATAAAGTTTCTTGTTGCTGGGCTTTGATGTAGCCCAGCTAACTCTTTATTCGGCTTCATTACTTGTGCATACAAGAAATGCATTGTGAGCAGTTGTTTAATTCTTTACCTTAGTTACTAAATTCGTTGTTTTCATCATTGTAAACACATGGTCCTTGTTGGCACGTTGTCTTGAAGTCCAGGGACTGGTAAAGAAGTGGACATCCCTGTAGGCAGTCGGTCCACGATTCGTTCTCTCAAGGCACGCGTGAGTACCTTGTGCACTCAAACTTCCAGTATAGCAACCTCGCATTTCACGTGCTAGCAGGAGCTTGATGAACTTAGAAGGGCCATGCTTGACAGTTTTCATGAAAATAAACCTTTACATCATTCGTCAGTAACATTAAGTTTTAACATAAAACTAATTGAATACTGTTTTGGGCAATGGTGCTTATTCAGAAGAGCAATGGCAGTCACATGCTCTTGCTAGTTGCAGCGCAGTGTATATGTACATTAGCAGCTAATCTGTATATATGCCCAGAGGATTCTTCTATGCGGCTCCACCAATTTCAATGATCAAGTCATCTGAATCCTTATGATCTGTAGCATATGCCAAGGGGTCAAAATTATGAAACAGTTGACCTTTGATCCGATAATCTGCCGTCTTTGTTTCTTCCGCTGCTTATCCACCCTGCCATTTACAATAGCCCACAAATGTTCTAGTGATGTAAATGTAAAAAAGAACTGAGCACCATCTCTCCCTCCAGGATGACGATACCTTCTGTGAAGCATAGCACCTTTGTAATTGGCTTTTGGCCTTTTTCTATGAGAATGGTGCGAATACAAATTGTGCTCGTGTGTACAATTATTCGGTAACATTCTATGCTGCTTGATGATGCTTGCACTGCAGGCGGTGCTCATAGACATGGAGGAGGGCGTGGTGAATGAACTCTTGCAGGGACCACTCAGGGACGTGTTCGACCAGAAGCAGCTCATTACGGACGTCTCGGGCTCTGGAAATAACTGGTCAGAAATGCACTCAAGCAAGACTCTGCCTGCGGTTATAGGAAATATGCGGTTAGAATGTGGACCTTTTAAATCCAAAATTCACGTGTTATTTTATTTGGTAAAAATAATAATGTAAAGGCTGTGATTGTGATATTTGTAGTAACAATGATGCATGCCATGTTTTTTTTGTGTGTGGTGTCCAAGGGCTGTAGGGAACAAGGTGTATGGGGCACAGTTCAGAGAGAAGATTTTGGAAAGGCTAAGAGTAACGGCAGAACACTGTGACTCCTTGCAGTGCTTTTTTCTCATCCACTCCATGGGAGGGGGTGAGTTCTTGCACGCTTGCATTAAGTGTGTGGTGGCCAGATGAAACAAACACTTTTGTTGAAGTGAAGGGAAAAAAATAATATTGGCACTCAAGAGACAATGGGGATACATTGCGAGTTAGGTTCGTGTTTCATCAAGTTTCCACGCAAACCCAGACACAAACGTTTAAGCTGTGTCTGGCTTTGCGAGCCGTTCTGCAAAAATGCCAAGGAATGAATATTTTTCTTTGCCCTTGCATCCCCACACATGTGTGTGTGTTTGTTTATTCTTTATTTAACAGTTGTTGATTACAGAACAGTTTTAATTGAAATACAATTAGCCCAGGGCTAAAACCACTGCTATCAAAACATGCAACATACCAAAAGTTCACATGAAAATACATATTTCTGTAAGTAAAGTAAAACTGAATAATATATTTCGTCTTTAGTGATTCATGTTTGGATGGTAAGCAGATTCCAAAAAGTCACTTGTACAGTATATTACATTCTAGATTTGAAGTTTTCTTGACTGCAAGGATTCATACTCTTTGGTTTTTTTGGTAAAGTCACGTAGGTAAAAAATTTAAATAAATTAAATTACGAGTTTCGGGCGCAACACAAGCGTCCTTCTTCAAAGGACAACTTCGCTAAGTTGTCCCCACGTGAAGAAGGACGCTTGTGTTGTGCCCGAAACGGTGTGATTTCATTTATTTTTTATTTTTTACCTACGTGACTTTACCGAAAAAACCAAAGAGTGGTATATTACATTCTGGGGTGGAGCTGTGGTCCAGAGGTTAGCAAGCTGTGCTATACATTTACCGACGTCCGTTCAATTCCCAGTAAAGTTAATGTCAGTGGCAAGTGACATCTGAACCAGTCCTGAGCCTCCCCTTGCCGTACTTACCAGCATTGTGAGGTAGGGTCAAACAACTGCACGACTGACATAGCATGGGGAAGCTTCATCCAGCTATACATTGACCAACAGCTGTATATTTTTTTCTATTATGTTTGGCAACAGTATGAATGGGTACACTGCAGTTGATCAGCAAGTCACATGTTGTGGGGTAAAATGTGGGTACTCCAACCACTTCAAAGATGTGTATGGTCATCGTGGAAAGGTAGTTCAAACACTCTGTAAAGAGGCTCTCAAGTCGACTCACTCTGAAGCAGGTTTCATGACAACGTTAAACTGACGGAGATAATTTCTTCTCCATAGGCACCGGCTCGGGGCTGGGCACATTTGTTCTGCGGCTCCTGGAGGATGAATTCCCGGACGTGCACCGCTTTGTGATGGCGCTTTATCCCTCGGCCGAGGATGACGTTGTCACCTCGCCTTACAACTCCGTGCTGGCCATGCGCGAGCTGACGGAGCACGCCGACTGCGTGCTGCCCATTGAGAACCAGGTGGCCTGCCCGGGACGGGGGCGGGGGGGGGCACGATGTAGGTGTGACGACTGTCCAATGAAGCCGTTGTTTAGCATGATGTGCGACGGTTTGTTCCTTCACGTGCTGGGAGTTTCTTCATGAACTAAATTAGGTTCCTAAAGAAGCTCCCACGGCACCTGCAGCGAACCATCGGACGTCGTGCCGAACGACACGTGGTACAACCCCAAAATACGTCTTGAGAGCTACACATCGCAACTGTAAAAATTTGTGCAATATTAATATAGGTGGTATTTTAACCCTGTAGCACTACTCTGCACCTGGATGGGGTGTTACTCCCATCAGTATTTGTTTCAGCTCAAGACTACTGGATGAGGGCCTACCCCACACCATGCGGGCCGTGGGGGTTATTGAGCATTCTTCATCATGCCGGTCACTGCGGCGGTTTGGCGAATTCCAGGGAAACTGGACGTTGGAGCACCGTCCAGTACGGTGTATTTTTATGCACTGCTGTCTAATCACAACATAGCTCCGCAGCAGCCTAGAACTCCTGTTTGTTTTACGAATGGCAGTTGCCCATCCAATATACACACAGCCTCAAACCTGCTTAGCTTCTCATTTCAAGTGATTTGGTCATCCCAACTATACTTACAGCACATGTTAAATGTGCGATTACAACTTAAGACAACCTTTCCACAAATTAAGTTATATACTTCAAAAGCGAATTATGTAATTTGTTAACATAGAGGTAATATATCAAGTTTGTGGGAATGATATTTTTAATACATGTATTCAAATGTAGTTTAACATTGTACATATCAATACACTTACTAGTTAAAGCGTTTATTTTTGTCCACTTGGATTAGGCGCTGGTGGACATAGTAAACAAGATCAATCACGCTGCAGCCCTTGGTAAATCAGTCCGCAGCCAGACAACGCTGTCCTCCAGCCACGGGTGCCTCAAGGGTCAAGAGAAGCCGTTCGACACCATGAACAACATCGTGGCCAACCTGATGCTCAACATGACGAGGTGGCCAGCACTTGGTGCCGATGCAATACACACCAGACTGTCATTTAACTTAGGCCTTGCAAAAATCAAGCATTTTATGAAAATCTTGGGAGGAGGGCTGTGGTTGCATTCTTTGTGCATACTGTGGCCTGTAGATCTGATGGGAGTGCTACCCTCCTGGAGGGCAGAAACATGAAGGCTGGACTTACTGGTGGTTCCACAGAGATGGGGCCCGTGTGTTGGGCAACACCAGTGACTGCACAAAAAGCATGACGTTACATTGGGTTTTGCACCTGAGATGGTTGTACCTTCTCTAATTGTTACTGAATTTATTTTTGTAATCTTCTTGGCCGAATTTTTATTTCAGCTTTATATTGTTACTTTCTTCATGCAGTCTCAATGTAGCTGTGGCATCTTTACATATGGTTTTGAAATATCAATATATGTTTATTCAGGGCTTTGGTTTGTTATAGATTTTAGATGATTGCATCCGTTTTCACCGAACCAAATGTCTATTAATAATTAACTATTTATAAATTGCAAATGACCATCGAGGATGGACCGACAAGATTGGCCCATGTGCAGGATCAAGATAGATTGTGGCATCTCACATTGCAACAATGTGGGAAGACCTTCATCCAGCATTCCCGATGAAAACAATCATGATTTAATGTTTACTAATGCAAGTAGATTTGGTGCAGTTGCCTCTGAAGGTACAATGCATGATACATCGTACCGTAATGTTAACTCCAGATGAAGTTTGCTTGAAACAGGTTTTTGCACGGAAAAGACACCCTTATGCTGTGCTTCATGTTCCCTGTGGGAGGCAGCTCGTCCCGGTTTGAAGGCTCGCTGAATGTTGATCTCAACGAGATCACCATGAACCTCGTGCCCTTTCCACGCCTGCATTACCTTGTCTCAAGCCTCACGCCGCTCTATGCATTGGCAGATGTCGCCCTGCCACCCAGGAGGTAATTTGGAGACTCCTAAGCTGAATGGCTTGCTGAGAATGTTTAACTTAAAAGCCGTAAATAATTGGAACTCAAGAACTTTGCAAGTAAGAAAGAACATTTGTTATTGCTCACTCTTTTGAGTCCATTCCATCACGAATGCGTAAGTTAGGGCACGTTATATTGAACTTGTCAAAATAAGTGTTTATAATCATTGGCTTTCAACTGGATTTTTGCAGCTGTTGTAAACCTATGACAACTAAAGCGTCACCAAGTTACGCTTTCAAAATATTCTTCGCAACGTTGGTGAAGCACATCACAGCCAATACATTTTGCTGAACGTTGTACAGATAATTATTCAGCTCGATAAGATTTATAACAATCCATGGGGACCCCAGTTACGTTCACTTTTTGGCCTGGCACACATTGGGTGTGTGTGGTGGGCACCATTCCCAGCTGCCTGTATATTGTCTGCTGTTATAACACTGGGAGAGAAATTTCATGTAGTGTCTTAAATGTATCTGCAGAAATTGGAATAGAATCCAGTCAAGCAAGACATTGCTTTCCCTTCGCTGTGACTGAACGCGTGCAGGCTGGACCAGATGTTCTCCGACGCATTCAGCAAAGAGAACCAGCTGCTCCGCGTGGACCCTCGCCGCAGCTTGTACCTGGCCTGTGCCCTCATGGTCCGAGGAAATGTGCAGCTCTCAGACGTTCGTCGCAACATTGAGAGGTGATTAATGCCTTCCGCTGTGATGAGTTACCATCCGTGCCTGGCTGCATGTTTCACGAATAAGTTTGCCATGTGAGCACGCTATGTATTAGAACGGTCTGCTAACTAGCAATGGTGTGTATAGTAGCTTGTGTGTGTTGTAAAAGAAGTTCCTGCATTGCTTAATAACCATGGCCAGCAACGGCCACGACCAGTCCACTGCTGGATGAAGACCTCCACAAGCTGTGATTTCTCTTCATGATCATGCAATTCAACAATCTGCCTACGAGCAGATTTAATCACTTCCTCTCTGTGGTGGACATTCTCCCCGGCACAGTGATTTGATTGTTTTAAATCATTTGGATTTTTGTTAGCAATAAAGTAAAATGAATATTTAATAGGTTTTATGAACTGGTTTGAAAAAATATTGAAACGCTAATAAATAATTTGAAACTTTTCAATAAGTCATGCTTAAAATATTCGAAAGTTCATGACTGTCATGTAATTGACATTTACGGACTGATGCAACTTTCACCTATATCCATACATTACACTTATAATTATTCCCATATTGTCGAATGCGCCTTCATATGTGACTAGAGGTTTAGGCCTTGGATGACAATTGAGTAAAACATTTAAGTAAAAATGTTGCATTATTCCTTTCCGCAATACGTTTTGAACACCACTCAATGTCAATAATACGTACATGCAACGAAGCTGCAGTAATTTACACTGCGCACAGTGGCTTTTGCCTAAACCAAAACAATGATAACAAAGGCCAGCGGTCCTTGTTGGCAGGTTGAAGCCATCACTGCACTTTGTAGACTGGAACGAGGAGGGCTGGAAGACGGGACTGTGCTCGGTGCCTCCTGTTGGCTACCCGCACTCCCTGCTGGCGCTCGCCAACAACACGTGCGTCAAGCATACCTTCGCCGATATCCAGGAGCGCTTCGCACGTCTCTACAGGCGCAAGGTGATTGTTGCCCCGGGGCTTGATGCAGCGTCCGCGCGTTCCTCGCGAATGTGCAGTTTAAAAAATGTGTCAAACATGCGTATGAAATTGTAACGTTGCCGAATGATAGCACCCTCTTTTCATCTCGTATCAAGTGCTGTTTTGTGACATTGTCCGACCTTTCGCCCAAGTATTTGGAGCTTCAAGGAACTAAATACACATGAGCTGTATAGCATAGCCACAAAAACCTGCGTAGCTTTACCAAATGATGCCTCATCCAATGGCGTGTTGACCATTGGAATCCCACAATCCTTGTGGCATGCATTTTCTGTAATGTTTAAATGTAATTAACAGTTCCATGACCACTGACAGTATGCGTAGCAGCTTGCATCTGAGTTTTTATCACATTTGATACATTGTGAATACGTACAATTTACGTGTTTTGTTAAACAGTAAAGAAGGAAGTTTAGCAGCAGGCATCACCACTCTTGTACAAACCATTTTCTAATGTGTAGACACATTCGTATTGGTCAGCACATTGGACTTGAACTGCAGAAGTGGCCGGTTAAATCTCCGATCGTGCAAAATGAAACAATGGGCAAGTTACTGAAATCCCACTGCCTCTGTCCACCCAACAGTATAAATTGGTATGGATTAGCAGGTCGTGCGTGGTGGGAAAGGTGTGTAAGATGGTCACTTTATATGTTTCTCACAGACTTGCTCACGTGTCCCCACAGCATTGTGTGGCTGTATTGACATGAGCTGCGTTTGTTTCCTCTAGGCACACCTGCACCACTACACGGATGTGGAGGGCATGGAGCTGAGCTGTTTCACGGAAGCTGCTTCTTCCCTGGCCTCGGTCATTGAGGAATACAACCAGCTGGACCGCAACAAGGGCCAGTTGGGAGGGGACATCCCACGCCTCACCATTGCCACATGACCTGGGCTGTATCAAGTGAGCTCGTGTGGAAGTGGCAATTGTCCACAGCTCAAAAGTTAGATCGTAATGTACTTTTTTACATGTAATTGTTCGTTATAGAGTATAACATTTTGGCTTGGATGCTAATCGTTTTACTTGCAACTGTCGAGTAATAACTCCACTTTTGACAAATTGTCAACCTTGTTGTCCTCTTACATCCTGGGTGTAGTCGGTATCCGTTTTCATTTTCACCATGGTAAATAAATACCATGGTAGTAAACCTTGTTGTACCACCTTACCAGTGATAAAGAACTACAGATAGACAGAAAGGATAGACAATACAAATACATGAAATAGGACAAATGCTTGTATATATTATTTTTTTGATAAAAACATGATTTAAATTATTAAACCAAAGCCATGAGGTGCTGTGACATTTTAAAATGTATTTTCGAAATGACAATGAAGCAGCTATCATGTATAATACAATGTAAGATTATTTTGAAAAAATATTTACAATTTTTTTGCAAAGCAAAATATATCTCTTCATTTGCCTTTGTAACTAAAATATTCTTCTTTGAAGACTAACATGGTTTGCACTTGAAGAAAAACAGGTAACAAATTGTTAGATTGTGTAAGTGTCGTCTCCGGTTTAAATCATGTGCATCTCTTCCTGAATCTTCACACAGATTCTATAAGGCAATAGAGGCAAGTGCAAACATTCGTTACATAAAATATGTTAAAGCACCAGTTGTTTAATAAACATCTAAATATAAAACCGTTTACACATGCTTAGCATTTATATTATCATCTAGCTTTAACACAAAGCTTTTCAGTCACACACTACCCTCTGGTGAAAGAACACTCCCATCACTGTAGTTGTTGATTCCCAAACCTGTGATCATGTTGGTTTTCGAATCTCAATACTGAAGTGTCTGTAGAGTAATAAACAAAGAGCACATGTGAACCTCAGGGAGACACTGAGGCTTTACGCCATCACCCCCCTCTTCTATAAATGCGTGCCGTTGTCAAAACAGTAAAAGTGTGGTCAAAAGCAATTTCACATTCCTGGTCATGGACGGCTCAGTTTTCAATCCCGTTGAAACCATCGTGGTTTCCTAAGTCGGCAAAGATGTCGTTAGGGTTCCGGCAGAGCCTGTGGCATCGGCATGAGTTGATCCACATGAGCTGCCACTTGGTTCGCGTTCCGTCGGGGCAGGTAAACTCGGCGCTGATGGTGGCGGTGCGGTACGGGTCGCAGCAGCGCCCGTCGCGGCAGCCCCCGCAGAACTTGAACAGGTAGCTGACGACGCTAGTGCAGCCGGACAGCTCGAGGCGCACGGGGTGTCGCGAGCGGTACTCCCTCTGGCAGCTGCGTCCCTCCTGCGAGCACCGGCACGGTCGTTATACACCCCAGGGCAGTTCTGCAGGTTAGGCCGCCTCGCAGGCCAACATAATATAATGCATTGAAGGTAATTTTTAGTTTAAAAAGAAATACAGCTTAATTAGGGAGTAAGGCTATGGTCTCCAATGTGTTTTGGTTTGACCGCGTCTTGTTAGTCATGTCTGACGTTGAACTTTAGAAGCTCCCAACATTTGTACAGCCTGAAAATACGTTAGCTATACAGCACAACCATGAAAACCTATGCAGTAAGTCGATGTTTTGTTACATAAAGCTGAATGTACCATCACTACCCAAAATGGATGACAGTGTGCTCATCAGAGTACATCTAAAAGTGATATTTTTAGTATTTCTCGGTTTCTTTTGTATGGCATTGGGGTGGGGGGGGGAAGTAAAAGTTTGGGTAGATGTCAGAGTTGCATGTTAAGGTCCTTCAACCAATCCAAGCAGGCAGTCGACGCTGTATGGATTACAGGGATACCCGCCAGGGTGTGTGGGATGGCACACTCGTCGGTGATGTTTTGATGCTTTGGGCATCGGAATTATTCCTGTTTATGGTGGCACAGTGGTAACACTTGTGCCTCAGAACAACAAGAGCCAGGGTTTGATTCCTGACTTGGGTGACTGGAGTTTGTTCTAGCCCTGTTCTGCATGGGTTTCCTCTGGATTCTTCGATTTGTTCCCATAGCTAAAATAATATACTGGTAACTGGTATTGGCTAAACATTCCAATGCTAAAACATACCTGCAAATTACTCAATTGGGGTTACACTTGGCAATATCGCCCGCTACTGTGAAAAATGGGCAGGACCCTACTGAAAACGTGTCTCGAGTCAGAGTAGCGCTTTCCTGAGTAAGAAAAGCTTCATAAGTAATCGGTTTACATATTCTCCAACCCTGCCACTTAATGATGTTATGAATGATTACCTATAACTGCCCAGGTGAAATATGTATTGCCTGCTTGGTGCCTATCTGGATGCAATACAGGTTGCCCACCTAGATAATGATAAAGTGGTGGATGCCTATCTGAATGCAGTGCCAGGTTGCTCACCCACACCTCGCGTGGGTTTCCCCGCCTCGATTCGGTGCGGGTCGAGGTGCCTACCCGGATGCTGTGCGTTCCGTTGGTCTCGCAGGGCCGCACGTAGCAGAGGCGGCGCTCGCGGTTCATGCTGCAGGCCGCGTTGTGGTTGGTGATGCGCGTCGAGATTCCCAGGCCGCACGTTTCAGAGCACGGGCTCCACGATGTTGTCTGCACCAGACAGTTGCTCCTCCACAGGGTGTCTTCCTCGCGCTCGTCTCGGAACACTGCCAGGAGGTTAACGGTGAGCACGTCGGTTAAACAGAAACACTGTCAAGTCCAGTTTGCCGACCAACGTACGTACCATGGCAGCATCCCATTGTATTGTCAACTTAATTCAGATTTCGCAAACTATATCAAGGTCTATTTGTAATTTAAGGATTTTTCATGGGAAGTATTTCTAATTATTTAGGGGCAGGAGGGTGGCGCCGTGGTAACTCTTGTGCCTCGTCAGCAATAAGGCCCAGGGTTCAATTCTTGACTGCTGTGTATTTCTGTACGGAGTTTCTTCTCCACCTCTCCAAACCCCTCATAGCAAAATAAACATGTTGACTGGTATCTGCAAAGCATAGCAATGTTGCAAAATTATCTGAAAATTATTCCATTGGGATTACAGATAGTGGCATCAGCCCAGACTACAAAAAGTTAACAGGACCCTCCTGAAAAAGTCCTGATGCTCTATCGGGCTTTCGTGGGCAACAAGCATAAAGTAAATAACATTTCGAAGCAGATGACTTCACGGGCAAGGCGTATTTAGGAAACTTTTCCTTTTGGGGTCGTGTAAATTGGCGCATGTTATTTCACTCGCCGTGCCTACCTGCCAGAGCGAGGTGCTTGGGCACGGACTTCCTGATCTTGGCGCGGATGTCGTCGCAAACCCAGCGCTCGCAGCACTTCCCCGGCACGGCGACGCGCCGCGGCCGCTGGCACCACACAAGCGGTGGGCGCGACTCGTGCGTGCACACGGGCACGCAGCCGATGGCGCCGTTCACACACGTGCACCGGTAGCGGCAGCTCTGCTGGAACGTCTGCCCGTTCTGGTAGTGCTCGCCATTGAGGCGGCAGCCGACGCCGATGATGTCTGTCGATCGATCGTGCCGGAGGTCGTGCGCGAGGTCGTGGGCGATCAGAAGCAGGATAGTGCATGAGAAACGGACTGGTTAAAGTCGGCATGGGTTTCTCCTTCAGGATTTTGCATGGTAACTTACACAGGAAATATTACAGGTACAGACTTGTTTTAAAAAGTTCAACGTGCAGCCCTGAAATTGCTTGCTCACACCACTGCTGGCAGAAGGACCTCCACCACAGGGAGGTCTAGAGAGAGCCCCTCTTGAGGGTATTTCACCTACCCTTCCATTTTGGCCAAATGTCTCAGAAGAGTGGGAGTACCCACACTACCCCAACACATGTGAGCTGGCGACGACCAACTCTGGTGTGCCCACATTTACTGCTGGGTGGACAGAGGTTTGTGGATTAAAACAAAAATGCCCATTAGTTCAACAGCCACGCCAGGAGACTGAACCAGCATCTCCTTTGATTCCAAACTAAGTATGCTGGCTAACCATTACACCAGGACAGCATTCCTTCAAAAGGTAATTGGAGTTTAGGTTACATGCTGTGTACAAGGTGAAAAGTTTAAAACATAAATAAAAAACAATTATGTTTTAGTTAACAATCTTGAATACCAGTTTTAAATACAAAACAAGCACAACCACATGTATTAAGATATGCCCAACTATAATGATGCATCGGCCAACATTTTCTCTCATGTCAAACTGCATGACAATATCTCAGCCTGCACATGAAAGGAACCCATATATGAGTGTGTCGTCTATTGTGGTCAAACCCTGCAACATTCCAGTGGTGTAGCAGAGTATATGGCCAGCAAAGCAGTCTTCTAAGTCAACAATTACTCTGTACATACAATGAAACGCTGTCCATGCAAGGCAATAATAGCAATAAACAACCACAACCAAATCTTGAACAGTACCATTTGTCGGATGCCTTTAACCAATGTTGTTTCTTTCTTTTCTAAAAGGAAATTTGAGGTACAGCCCCGCAATTGCTTGGTCTTGCCACTGCTGGCAGAATATCCTTCGCTAGAGGCTATTTGGTCTCCTCTTCCACGTTGGTCAGATGTGTTGGAAGAGGCGGGTGTACCCACACTTTACCCCACCGCAAGAGAATTGCCAATCGACCAACTGTGGTGTGGGAATCGGAGGTGCAGGGGGAGGACTGAGAAACCCGCACCATTGTTTCTACTGCCACTCCAGAAGATGGAGTCGAACCGGTGACCTCTGCATCTCCACGTCCAGTATGCTAACCACTACACAGTGGCGGCTCCCTATGAAATGGAAAACAAACCCTCTCAAAACTGTTGCGTTTTTTTTCTTCTATATGCTGTAAAAAAAAATGCAGGCAATAGCTATGGTAAATATTGGCATTTTTACGACAAGGCCTTTGTAACAAACATAGGGGTTGTCTGCTGAGTTTGTGTAAATAACCCTGAGTTCATCATAAGCAAGCTGTTTCCATGGTGAACTCAAATATCCGTGGCCTAACGCAGCAACAAATATGGATCCTAGTGGTGCTGCATTACCCACTTTCGCAAAGTAAAAAATCAGAACCTCGACGTCGAGCAGTGCTCCGCCGGGAGAACGCAATGTTCAAGGGCGAGTGCAAGACTGACTTAGCGGACTCGTCGTGCCTCGGGGCCCCTGGCCACTGGCGTGATGTTATGCGGCTTGGCAAACGGCCAAAACCTGTTTGATGTTCAAGATAGATGGACCCACAGAAAACGCCCGAGGAGAGTCGATGCAAGCTCGACTGTAAATTCCTAAACGGGAGTCATGTGCATGCTATGAAGGACCGCACTTCATAACCTACTGCGGTTTTATAAATACGAAACTAAATTGGCACCTGGGCCCTATTGGTTTTCACAGACAGAAGTGCAATTCACAGGAAGGTTTGTCGTAAGACCTTCCCAGGTTTTGAAATATGCTTTTTCAGGTGTGCTGGCTGCTTAATAGATGTAATGTCCATAGACGTAACAGATAAATGTTTATGATATACTGAACAATCATTCACTTGAATGCATGAAGTTAACTTTCAGATTAAATCTGCGGCCTCATTGGAGCCTTCACATGTAAAATGACATGTCACCCCAGCACATGTGAATAATTTCCCAGTGTTAACCATTGCACACGTGTTGATCTTAAATCCCCAATTTAACATTTTCATTCGTCGCATTTCAAGAGAGCTCTTGAAGGTTGTTTTGTATATAACTTATGTGATTGGTAAGGGCACAGTTTGGGTTCAAATGTAATGAAATTATATGTTGTTTGGATCACTGGCCCTCTAGTTTAACAGAGATAAACCTTCCAGGTATTCTAAAATTAAAAATACTAAGAACATTGCAGCTTTCAATATCCACCGTCATTAAACATTTCAACGTCAATAAAAACAGTTGAATTCTTTAATGACAGGCGCGACTTTTTTTAACGGTGGCCAAACCTCCCAAACATTAAACGGCACCTTCGTAGCGCAATCCCGCAAAGTCGCGTTAACACGTGGGCCGGCGGAACCCACTTAGTGGCCGCAGCGGCGGCCTGGAGGGTTTATCTCGACCACCTGCTGTTAGCGCTGGTGCACAGGGGATGGGGGGGGGGGTAGAGATTGCAAAGGGTGAAACTTACATGCACAAACGCCTATCTCGTACCTAGGTCTGTCCCCGGAGTAGTCACAGTAGAGGCCCCTGTGATAGTCGCACGTGTCTGCCTCGGTGCAGCGCTCTCCGCCCTGACGCGCGCACGTCTTGCAGCAGCCACAGCCGTCCGTCACCAGGCTCACGCCCGGAGGGCAGCGCGGGGGCAGCGCGGGGCACCGGCAGGGCCACTCGCAGAACTGACGGCGCTCGGACGGGTGCAGCTCGTTGGACGGTGCCTGCGGTGCCTGCGGCGCCAGCGCTACCGGAATTTGCGTGGTAGAAGAAGAGGTGGTCGATGAGGTGGATGAGATCAATGAGGTGGATGAGGTGACGCTGCTCTCCACCGTAGACTCGGCCGTCCCGGTCATGTTGCCCACGAAGGCGCCCACCATGCAGGCCTGCCGGAGACAGTTTAGTTGCACTGGGTGAGAACTCAAATGAATAGGATAGTCTTAATTGCCAGTGACCTGTGCCACCAATTTGACAAAAGCAAAGCAAATTTAAACAAATCTACAAAAATCACGAAAGGTGACATTTTGAGTGATGGCCCTTCTTCATGGCACGTCTAATTGATGATGGTGTGTTTAAAACATTAACATGCAAATAACTGCATTTTGAAATGACCCAAGCAATGGGTGTAATTGTGTCTTTGTTTTGAAGTATTTCAGTATCAACTATAAAGCAGTCATTAAATCCTGACTCACCTTTTTGCTACTGCGTGAAATTTCGTTTCACATTACACGCAGCTCACGTGTAGTAGAGTATTCCACTGGGTAAGATGTGCTAACCAGGCAGTCCCTTTACATCATACACACACATTCACCAAGCCCAGCACTAGTACTCCGCAATACTCCATCAGCAACGTAAAACTTAATGGATATGGGAACATTCATATTTTCAAAAGCGCTCAATTTAGATTACTGCAATAATATTATTAAGCTTATCATATTTCCTTTTAAGTTGGAAGTTTATCTTTAATGGCATTTGCTAGTGATAGAAGATGGTAATGGTCGCTTCAAACACACAAGTTTAATCGGTTGATCTTGTTTTGTATTTTTTTACCCTCTTTCGTGAGACTGGGCAACAATGACGCGAAACATTCCTCCCAATCTTGAGAGCAGCAGGGGGAGGTTTGGGGCATAAACGGGCCCCGAGTTGGACGGGTTCAGCACTTGACGTCCGTCTGTAGCAGCAGCACATGATGCACGATCGAGCAGGGGACGCGGTCACGCGTGGAAGCGGGTGGTATCCCCGTAGTCACGTGTGTTTTTTTCCGGGTCCTCCGCTTTTTCCCCTCCACATTTAGAATCAACACCACGGCGTTTAGAGTATTTAGCTGCTATAAATGTCCACGTGATAAGCCACTTTGTCGAGCCATCATTTGTGGCCAGGTTGCTTCTGAAAAAGAGCTGTGGAGCTCAGTGGGCCTTACCTCCTAAAATAAAAAGTTAAATAGTTAGCTCTACCGGCAAACGGTTCCCGACGATTGTCGGCGAGATCGCAGATAGCATCTGCAAAGTTCGCCCCCCACTTTGTCACGGAAATAACAGTTCTACTGCACGAGCTGTGGTAAATCTACGTGACTACCCGTGCCCTGCTGTCTCTTTGTAAAGGTTTTCTCTTAGCGCCATCGGCATGTCCAGTGGCCTCGACGGAAAGGCGAAAACGTCGTACTCAAATATACTGCACCACGTTTCGTACAACGCCACTTCGGGGTGCCCCTCATTCCACTCCATTCATCGCGCACAGTCGGCCACGGACCGTTACGGCCAAACGTGTGACCTCTCAACAGCATTCGTATAAACCGCTCTTGCTTGCCATACACCGGCTTCGAGTAATTTGTTTGAATCACGCATTACTGGGGGGGGGGGGGGGGGCGAGTGACCACTGTGTCACTCAGCCCGATAGAAAATGTTGGGGTGTGCGGGCACCCGTGACACCGCACAGTGGCCGAGCCCTTGCGATCGACCAACTCGCAACTTTGCAGCGTGTTTTGCATCTGCCTCCTGTGGGCTTTTTAAATAAAATAAAAAGTCTATCAATGTGATGCAGATGAAGATATTGGAACGCACCTTGACCGTTCAGAGGTAGTCCATATTCTAGAGAATGCATAACAGCGGGGAATCAAAGTTGTCCATTCCTCGATTCCGGCACGCTGTTCCCACGTTACTAACAATCTCCACCATGAGGTATTAGCTGTGCAAATCCTCTGCACACATGGTCATAGATTTTAGAATGCGTCGTTCAAATCGGCCCTGGGTGTTTCACAGCATTGTTGAGCGTTTGCAATAACGTTGCTGATTTGCCTGTGCACAAAGCATCGCATTGCTGAGGAATCGATCTGAAGATCGCACTCGGCATCAAGATCAGCCGTGGATGGACTCGACACCACCTACCTCTCCGATCCCCCATACATACTCCAACGTCTTAACCACGTCTAAAAATAGTGTTCCTTATAGCCATACTATATAGTGCAAACACATTGTGGGTGTCTCTGAGCCATATCTAAGAACCCGTCGGTGTCTGGGCCATGTCTAAACGTGTCTGTGCTCTGAAGGGGTATTGCCCAAAACGTCGTCTATTATATATTTCAATTTAAGGCCACAGTGTTATTGACGGATGTTGAGGTTTCCTGTTCTAATTTTCGCCTGTGCACCACTGGCAACGCAGTATCACCAAACAATGGGTTTGAACACGGCGCGTGTGCAGATGTCTCGCGCGTATCGTGAACGTGCGCTCGCGGTGTTCTGTTGGCCGCATCGTGGCTCAACGTCGGCTTGATCACTCCCGCTCACGGGCGAGGCCACCCACGCTCGCTGCGCCCATTTGCGCCGTTGCATTGCCCGGGCCCAATGAACAAGTCGGGCCCTGGTCCCCTCGCGGACCGCGTGCGACCAGCGGCGGAGGACCCGGGCGGTGCCGGACCTCACCGGCAGGAGGCGCCACGCACAGTCACTTCGCCTCCTTGGCGCTTCGGCGGTTGCCAACTATCCGGGCTTGACCCAGATAGTCTGGGCAGTCGATGGGTTTAACACGCAGGCCTTTCGCGACAAATATCCATTTCGTAAGTTTTGTCACGTAAACAAAAGTTGCCAATTAGTAACTCCTTCAGCACACCGGTGTGTTGGAGAGTAGCATCATCAGGCGATTAGCCAGAAATGTGTCAGAAAGACTTCTTAATCATTCTGATCTAACCCCCCAAAAAACCTTGATCTGGGAGTTGATGTTTGTATTTGTGGTGCCAATAATTGATTTCTACTAAGATATGGTATCGGGATTGTCTTGAACTTTATTGCAGTAGGCTGCACAGTATCGATGACAGAACTAGGCCGACTGATAATTGTGTCCGGGTTTGCTTTGTGGAAAAGGTGGCGACCCCATACCACGCTCCAGAAACGATTACACACACACGATGGATTGCTGCTGCATGAAGGCACGACCACTGTAGAGATGTGCTGATGTGGAGATCATATCATTGTGGCATCGTAGGACCTTGAGGAATGGTGACAACTTGGAGAGACCATGCAGTGGATTGATCATGGCTGACGATGGCACGCTTCAAATCTATGCATGCAGACGCTTAGTCTCGTGTGCCATACGTGTTCTCACATATGACATGAAAATGACAATTATCGAATTGGGCCCTGCGGCAAGGAATTAAATGTGGGGCCGCCTATCCAATTCAACCCCTCCCCTCTGGGTCCCGGCGCAGTTGCACCGCCTGCACACCCAAGAGCTGCAGCACTTCTTGTTAGGTACACATCACATGACCATTCTCGTTCTCAAAGCTGTCTCCACGTTCTTGCCCGCGTAAGTATCCCGATTGTTCATTTGAAGCTTTCGTAACTGCAGGAATCCATACTCTTTGGTTCTATCGGTAAAGTCACGTAGGTAGAAATAAAATAAATCACGACGTTTCGATCGCAACACAAGCGATCTTTTTATTATTATTTTATTTCTACCTACGTGACTTTACCGATAGAACCAAAGAGTATCCTGCTTGTGTTACGTATTCACGCATAGGCATCGCTTGTTGTTGAAGGAGTTATACTAACAATACTTTTTCAGACAGAGTGGACACAAATAAAAGAAATGGCCCTGGACTGTATGGAATTCTGCAAAACGAATCTACAGGGACACCATACTCCAAAGATCAATCATCCATCACCCCTCAAGCTTTCACAGCCGACAGCTATGAGCAAGAAGTGCACGTGATGAGTTATGCAATGCAGCAGTGGAGATAATTGCACATGAACAAAGGAGGCGTGGAAGGAAGATGGAATTCAAATGAACCTTGATCGCTTCATGCAAATTGACGTCATGGAGCAATGCGTGTAAGAGATGCAATGGCTCGGCTTGCAATACATTAGAAACAGTGACGTGCAACGTTTATGACAAAAGACCACCGTTTATGAGTTGTCGCAAGGAAGCAAGTTCACAGATTGAAATTCTGCACTGAAAGTCACAGGGGCAGAGGCAACATCTGCATGCACTTAGCACACGATAATCAACCGAGGTGGGTGCAACTGTGAAGTTAAATAATAGAATAGCGTGTGAATAGTCTGTGTACTTTTCGATTGCCATGGCTACAAAAATATTGACCACTAATTTAAATGAAATACAGTTGATGTGTTCGTGAAAAACAGAATCAAGGGGAAATGGGAAGTCCATCACGTCATGAGGGCAGCCTACAAGAGGTTGGGAAAAAATATACCTGTGGAGTGGAGACCGAGAGAAGGCAAAGAGATGTGGGGGGAAGACAGCGGAAGGGACGGTGACGAGACATCTCAGAGTTGGGAGGCCACGGCTGGACAATGAGGACTAAATGTAAAGAATGGGAGAAAATAAGAAGAAAGTAAGGGAGGCCTTTCCCCAGAATTGGGAAGTTACAGATGGACAACAACAACAGCTGATGACCTGAATTTCTGGAGCAGTCACCCAGTCAATAATTAAACTAACTCATTTTAATTACTGACTGCCAGTAATAACAAAGCTTGTGGTTTTGCACCAATCTGCTTTTGATGACATCTCACGAGCCACGCGTGGCACACGTGAGAGCAGTCCACGAGCCACATGGAGTAATTTCACTCACGCACTCGGTAACATTGAAGCAGCGACTGGCGGCAGCTTTAGCAACTGCCCCCACACCAAAGCGGCCAAAATAACACAAGGGGACACAGAGTTGACGCGCCATGAACTCACGCAGCATCAGCAGCACAAGCCGTGCGCGCTGGTTTGCAATCCAAGCCTGAATATGCACCTCACGCACCGATAGCTGTCAACCCATTATCAGTGCTGCCCCACTTATTACAGACCAATTCAGACCTTATTGGTCACTCCGTGATCTTTTATAAATCTCTCTCTTTTATAATTCATCCTACAAAGTCCCATCACAAGGGAGAAACACAAACACAGACAAAACAAATGCCCCTATTGAAGCGGCTGTATGCCGAAAGGACCTGAAAGCTCAATTCCCCTGTACAAGAATACGGGTAAACCGTATGGCTTGAGAGGTATGCGAACCTCATCCCAGTCTACCGTGCTTCTCAATATGCCCAGGCTGAGGTTATGACTTGATGTTGCTGATTAGATTAGAATTATATGCAAAAATCACTATGAATTGCGTAATCATTTATTTTAACTGCAATCGCTGATGCACTTACAGCTCTCATCATCATTATTAATCGCCATGGCCAATCCACTGCTGAATGAAGAACGTCCCCAAGCCGTCGCCATCCCTCACGGCCCTGAGATGTAACGATCCGTCTACGAGCTGATCTCATGCTCCGTCTCCTCCACGTAGCCCACTCGGACGCATTCCATTCCTTGGCTTCCACTCCGTCATTTGTCTTCGCCACTGCCCTTCACCACTGCCCTTCACCACTGCCCTTCATCACTGCCCTTCATCACTGCCCTTCATCCTTCACTTCCAGCGATGACGTGTCCGGCCCCAAGTCCACTTAATGTTTTCACCAGCTTGGACTGCCCCCCCCCCCCGTCTCTAGCCCGCCTCTATAACCCGCGCGATTACACTGCACGTGAAGATAACGCGTGGCCATTCTCATGCGTGTTGGTATGAACGTCCAGAGTGAATCTTCATTATTAAAACAGCCCATTGGTATATTTACAAGGGTTATCTTTTGTTTAGACTGCGCATCGTGATGCGTGTATTCAAGTGTACACACAGTAACTGTGTGGGAAGCGGTAGTGTAGTGGTTTAGCGCGCTGCGAAACGAACCCGCTCACGGCCAACATCAGTGGCGATTTTCTAAACCGGTCCTGGGTCTCCCCTAGGTCGACTCAGCCTCAAATTGGTACCTCGTGTGTAAACATCGCCACTGGGGAAACAAAGGAGGCCAGGCGTGGTGTTGGCCACCCACCCCCTCGTGTGCCGTGCCGGCCTTCATAGGTGCCCGCTAACAGCGCCTGCCCCAACAGTCTGTGAAGACGATGTCTTTGTCCGATTCACACAGTGATACAGACTGTATCTACATTCGCAACGCAGACAACTGAACGGCACAAGTAGTCCACTTACTGCAGCTGCAGGCTGCCACCCAAGTGCACACAGATCTTCACCTGAACTCCACCACCACCATCATCAGCCATGATCACTCCACCGCTGGATGACCCCCCCCTCTCACACGCCGCCCCACGTGAACACCGCGAGTATCACCAGCAGGGCTGCATGTTCACACCAAACTCTCTCTCTTCCCTCCGTCTTGCCCTGCTGGGCGAGTGCTGTTAGCGAGCGCCTATTAAGGCACGAACGGGTGGGGTGGGCGTGCACCACACACAGCCGCCTTTGTCTCCCCAATGTCGATGTTTACACATCGCGCCGGTAAGGTTGACTCGACCAAGGGAGAGGAACGGCTCCTATTCACACATCACTCACGACTGGTGATGTATCTCCATTCAACTCAGATTGCCAGCTATGTATTACGTCAATGCGCTACCCGCAGTGCATCACAACAAAGACAAAGATCACCCGAATAGCGTAAACAGACTTGTTGGGGCAAGTGGTGAGCGAGCACCTATGAAGGCATGCACGGGTGGCCAGCCCCACACCCGTGCCGCCTTTGTCTCCCAGTGGCGCCCGTGGCGATGTTTGCACACCGCACCCGGTACCCATTTGAGTCCGAGTCGACCTAGAGGGAGCCTCAGAACCGGTTCGGATATTCCTCACGAGTGTTGGCCGTGAGCGGGAATCGAACTCGGCTCGTCTGGTTCGCAGCGCGCTAACCGCTGCACTACCGCTCCCCACATCCCGAATACAAAGACACAACACACACAACACACAAACCACACACACACAACACACACGCAAACAACATACAACACACACACACAACACACACCACACACACACACCACACACAACACACACCACACACACACGCACCACACACACACCACACACACAAACACAACACACACCACACACGCACCACACACACACCACACACACACACACACCACACACACACACCACACACAACATACACCACTCGCACCACACACACACCACACACACACCACACACACGCGCGGTATTCTCCTCGATTCTCACCTGGAGCGCGACCACCACGAGCAGAAGGAATGAGTTGGACTCAGAATTCCGTCTCATCTCGCGTCCAGGATCCCCGCACCATCCGCGCACCGCATAACGTGGAGGCGCACGCTGCTGATGCTGCTGCTGCTGATGATGATGCTGCTGCTAACGATGTTGCTTGCAGATGCCGCCAATAAAAAAAACACACACGAAACAATCTCTTCGCACTTGGGGTCAAATTGAGCCGTCTGCGCAAAACTTCGACCACGGGCAAACACAAAGAGCAGCCGGCTCATGTGTGAACCTCCAGGGGGTGGGAGTGTGTTGTGTGGAGCTCATGCAGTCGACGAGGAGAGCGGGCGCGCAGGGCACCTGGATGGAGAGTGGGGATGATGTTGTCCGCTGTCTGCGGCGGCGGGGTGCGTGGACAACCGCGACTCTTCCCAAATGCGAAGAGGCGCCGCGCTCAGCTGCATCGGAGTGATAATTGTTTGGAAGGGAGACCGCCCACAGACCCGCCTCCTCCTCCTCACGCAGCCACACACGGCCAGAACCGCCCAGCCAACACTCAGCTCCCAGCCCTCACCCACCACCACACCTCCCCTATCCCGATCACCCTCTCTCTTTGGCTCACATTCCCCTATTACCACTCGCACCCACACTCCCCTATCATCCCTCCAGCTCACAAACTGCCCAACTGGAGGCAATTCAGTGTTATCGGTAATTATGCTGTGACCACCGACACGCCGAGCTGTTGGCTAAACTTATTCTCACAACTTAGGTTGAGCGCATTCACGATATGCGTCGGCTCTGCCGGTCTTTGCCTGTCCTCCACTCACTCGGGAGCAACGAACGTCCGGATTATTTCGACGAAATGGATGCTCAGAACTTGAGCACACAAACCATAGAGGGGACAACTCCACTTGTTTTTTTTTATCACGTAAACAATGAATGTTCTGTACGTAGCCAAGCGTGCTACAGCACCTACACCCAAACCAATCGCTTCGTTAAACTTTCCAAAAATGTTACTCGTGTCAAGATCTGTATAGTTGTTGGGCGAGATTGACTCAGAAATATGTTCAGAAACAAACAGGAACGCACATGCGTTATAAAAGGCATTGGCCTCGCGTGTAAGTTCGAGCCAACGTACAAAACAAAAAGATGCTCCCTCGTTGGACTGGTTTGTCAGCTTGTTTCGGATTGAAACTCGGACTTGTTTAGCTGCCCTGGCGGCAACCGACAGCGATCGCTGTCAGCTTCGTCTGTCTCCTCTCGCGGTCTCGCCACGAGTTGCCAACTTCACATTGGCACCGAACACCGACCTTGCACGAAGGGCAGCTGCACGCGGATTGTAATGTTGAAATACGCATCTAACAACGCAAATGTTGTAAACACATCAATGGTTATGCCAATGTTGTCCTTCAAGGTGCGTATGCCGAACATAAAACCGTGTTTTAAAACATATATTATGAGGAATTGATACAATGTACATGGATAGGGCCTTCCAAAAACCTGTTCACGGCCAGGATAATGTCTCCACGTGTTTAATCCACGCAGATGTGCACAGGGCGATCCAACTATAGATAACCCACGGATTAATTCTAGATTTGAAGCTTTCGTGACTGCAATAATTCATACTCTTTGGTTTTTTCGGTAATGTCACGTGGGTAAAAACCAAAATAAAAGACACCCTTAAGCGGTTGTGCTTTCGCTACGTTGTCCCCACCTTAAGAAGGACGCTTGTGTTGCGCCCGAAACGTCGTGAATAAATGTAGTTGTTTTCATTTATTTTATTTTTTACCTACGTGACTTTACCGAACAAACCAAAGAGTATGAACCCACGGATTGTTAACGGCCCTCTTCTAGACCTCCGATTGAATATTGTGAGAGCGATGGGTCCGGTGTCTCACAGAGGAGGAACGCTCTTGCACGCGTTTAGGGTGTTGAACTTTGCTGGGGAGACGTGTGGGAGCTTTGAAATAAAATTGTCGTTTTCTCTACGATTTCTCGATATTATCTTAGCGGGGTATCTGTCAATGGATCGCAACGTATACATTCTTCGAATGCACGTGTTAGCGATCCAGTGCTTTTGGGGGATACACCTGCGGCGCGTGATTGTATCCTATCCCAGGGCTGTGACAATAACGCATCAATCAACGTCTTCGGGAGATGGTTGCCGATGCAAACGCGGGGATGGTCACTCCCAAGACAGCGACATCCAAGGTTAGACGCCTGTGATCGAATCGGCAGCGGAGCTTCGGCTGGATAGTGATGGGATGTGTCGATGCAGAACGTGGGGGCTACATGGTGGCCGGCAAGAAGGTGGTGCAGCAAAACCAAATCGTGTCCTGTACTGTACTTCTATGCTTCCACCTTCTATGCCCACTGCCTGAAACCACCAACCCAACCTGAGTATTGTCTGCTTAACACGAAGGCTGTCGCCACCAATATCATCCAGTAGCCCCCACAGTCCAGACGGTGCGGGGAGGGCCTCACCCAGCAGTGGATTGACACACAAGGCGCTGTTCATGCTGTGCACGCACCTCCCATGAGCCACGGCTGACTCCGTGCGCTTCACCGAAAGAGGTTCAACATCCACACGCACGCACGCGTGGCAGGGGATGCATGTGAATCCACGAGAAACGCCGCGAAGTCGGTAACGCAATGACGCGGTGAAGTGAGTACAGCTGGAAAATGGATCGCCAATGACGACGACAACAGCGCGACTTGAAGTGGGGGCATGGAACCGCATCGGACCCCACCCCCCCTAGGAAAGGGCACTTGTAGGAGGCTGAAGAGCCCCTTGTGAGGAGGGCTGCACACGCATGCCTCTGCGCGCAACCCCCCCCCCCCCCCCATCGCAACGTAGCCGGCCACGTTCCTGTAACCCCCTGGGGAGAATCGATTCTTATCCGAATTGTGCACGCCACTGAGGGTGTTTTCAAACGGTTTAACTTGAAAGCACGGAGAGCTCAGCCCCGTGGTGTCGTGTGTGTGGGAGGCAGGGATGGATGATCAGCACGCCTTTCTTAATTCGAAGAAAGTTGGCGTCACATTCTACACCGGTGGCGGTGTTTTGTTTTTAAGTTCGCGAGTAAACACCCGGAACCGTCGAACACAAATAAATGCGCCCGCACGCAACTGCTGCGGTTAAGTTGAATCCGCAGACACGGAGAGGCGAGCCCGTGTGTGTGTGTGTCTGTTTTCATGACTGTAGGGGGCTGAACACAATGTACAAGTACTCAGGTACACCACGATCAGACAATTGGCACGTGGCATGTGGTGGTGTGCGTGTTCCACGCCTCTTTCAAGACGCCCAACCAGTGCGGAAGAGTAGGCCAAGAGCCCTCGAGAAGGGCCCTCTCTCTCTCTCTCTAGAGCCTATCCGCCAGCAGTGGAGTGAGCAAGACATTTCAGGGCTGCGCCTTTACCGTTTAATGTATCTTGATGGCTGACGCAGACTCCGAATCCCTGGTTAGACTCGCGAGTGGAGCCACGGCAGCGCGGTCACTGTTTTCATTCTCTCGTGCCGGCGCCTTGCCAGGAACAGAGCAACATACGTGGCACACACCTCGAAGGCGAGGCGAGCACACGAGAGCGCGTCTTGTGCGGGCGGGCAGCCCTTCCTCAACGCTCAAACAACGAAATCGCCTTCAGCCGGCTGCACCTTTAGCGCCGCCGCTGCGTTTTGCTTTCGGCTCGGTCGTTGGGCTTGCGGGCCCCGGTGACTCTGGCAAAGTGGGTGACCACCGTCTGAGTCTGAGTCGTCGCCGACGGTAGCGGACTGCTCCCGACAACGAGAGCAGAGACAGGGAGAGAGAGAAAGGGAATGGGGCGGCAGCGCGGGAGGCGGAAGATGTCATCAAACAGAAGCTGCAGATTCATTCTAGATTTGAAATTCCTCACAGTGGCTTGTGTTGTGTGTGTGTGTTTTGTGTGATTATAAAGTGTGCGCTTACGTGAATTCATCATCAGCCATGATCTATTCACTACTGAGTGCCATTTCTCTTTTTTTTCGATCAGAGGAAACAAGAAGATGCTCGGTGTAGTCGGCACTTTGCTTCGTTCATCATTTAGTTTTTTTTAATGCTTTGCTTTATGTAAACCCACCCCCCTTTTTAAATTAAAGGTTTAAACAAAATATTTCTCGCTCTGCTCTCCTTACCCCTTCCCTCTCTCTCTACCCCCCTCTCTGCCCCCCTCTCTCTCTACCCCCTCTCTCTCTCCCTCTCTATTTTTTAACTATGACAAGTGCTGCATCTGCACGCAGCCCTTCTCGCAGTCCAACGGCCTCCGACGGGTAGCTCATATCAGCATGCAGAGCTCTCCGTCATCTGCCACCGCGTACACGGCCTCCTCCAGTGGCCACTGCTCCTTGAAGGCCGGCACGGCGTGGGTCATCCGCGCATGGCGGAACTCCAGCCACACCCTGGCTCCCGATCTTGCGATATTATGTTTTGTGAATGAAGCGTTAATACCGTAAGGTGGAGCGGTGGCACAGTGGTGAGTGTGTTATGCTATTATGAGCTCCGCGACCTACATTTAATTCGCAGCGATAGTTAACGTGAGAGACGAAACACTCCTTCACTGCTCCAGCCCACCACACCCCCGCATTTCACCAACCCGCACTGACCAGCTGGATGAAATATAAAAAAGATTAACTAAACTGTAAACAATTTTTATTTTACCAGGCAAGGCCCACTCAGCTCCGTAGCTCTATTTCAGAAGCGACCTGGGCACAAATGATAGCTCAACAAAGTGGCTTATCGCGTGGAAATTTATCGCAGCCGAATACTCTGAATGCACTTTTTTTTAATGCGGGGGGAAAAACCGGAGTAACCCGGAGAAAAATCCACGTGACCACGGGGAGTACAAGCAAATTACAAAAATACAACAGGCGTCAAGTTCGGGATCGAACCCACGACCTCCTGTGTGTCAAGCGAGGTGGTTAACATTTCACCCCGTGACACCTTGACTAACACAGCGCAGGGACACCTCCAGAAAGCAGTGAATTCATGAAGGGGCTGTAAATGATTCGTGAATATTGTTTGTAGAATGTATCTATTTTAGCCGAATGCAAAGTTTCATATTTGCACGCTTCCTATCCATGGATTACAGCCAGTAACACCGCAGTATTAAATCAGATTAGTCTCACCATTTGGCTCAATGTCTCATATTGGCCACCTCTCAAAACATGAACCTGAGCGTGCCAAGCGCCCACGAATCTTTCGACTTGCCACTGATTCACATTCTTTTTCTCCAAGGGTGGAACGGACGAACCTTTGTGCGCATCACCGAGCAGCTGATATGTTACGAAGTTGTTCACTTTGTTGTCAAGTAGTGGATATCACAAACCACAAAGAGAACACAAGTATGAGTCCATAGGTCTGCAGAACAAGCCAGGTTCATCTGCATCTAATTTTATGGGGGGAAATAATATTCACGAATTAAATATGCGGCGTTTAAAATAAATTTGGTTTCGAGTCAAGCTCGTAAATGTTCCCTCCCTTGCCACGCCATGTGTTTTTAGTTTTTTAGCACAACCCCGTATATTTCATTTCCATGTAAGGAATCATCCTTCCCATTAATTACCAAGCAGCATGTGCAACATCACTGATGTTTATTAACCTCCTTGCCGAATGTTGGAAAAAGTTTTACTTAAAACACACACACGTGCTCACGAAACTATATTTGACATTGGAATTTGAATTCCTTTGGAATGTGCGTTCTTTTGAAACCCAAATGTTGACACAGTATCAGCTGATGTAGTTTTGAGAGACTCTTGATCACCGACGGTTCTTCTTGAATCAATCGAGGCGCTGTGTTGCTCCGAGCCACTTGTGGGTGCGGCCACAGCTCTTTGCAGGAGTCTTGCTTTTAGAACACCGGCTGCACCGCAAGTGACAATCTCAAATAAACATGGTGAATTGCAAACATTTTTATTCAAACATAACGGACAGTACAGAGGCTTTTTTATTTAAAGACGAGGTGCCAGAGACTCCGCGAGGGACGTTTTCGGTGCGTGTGGGATGACCGCCGGATGCCCGGGAAGTTATAGCCGCAGGACCTACCGCTAACCAAAAGTAAGCACCAACAGAAGCTCCCCATGAAAAACAAAAAGCAGATTATACGCAATCAACCCGGCATTTAAAAACATGTTTTACATTTCACATTCAAAAGTCCGGAGAGTAAAAGTTATCTGCAAAAATAGAAGTAGCTTATCGTGCGCCTAGTTTAGATCACGGCGGTGGTGGCGGTGACGCACGGTGGCACGGCGCTCGGTGGCGGGATCACACGTATGGCGCAGCGGCGGGTCGCTCCGTCGCCATGCTCCCCGTGACCGCTGCCCGGAAGTTGCTCATCTGGACCCGCCACTCGAGCAGGGCCTCCTGGCGCCACGCGTGGTAGTCCTCTCTCCACTGCCGCTCCACCTCGCCGATTCCTCCTGCGTGGAACATTCGTCCGTTAGGTTTTTTCGGTAAAGTCACGTAGGTAAAAATAAGCAATAAATAATAAAATAATAGCTATAATATAGAAATAAAATAATAAATCACGACGTTTTCTTGCAGTCAAGAAAGCTTCAAATCTAGAATTCGTCCATTAACTAATTTGCTCACTTGTATCGGGTATCATTATTATTATTGTGAGGGCTGAGCCCTCGCAAGCGTCTTCTTGTTATACCGTGCGTTGTGTCGCATGAATGTCAAATTGCTTGATCTCTGACATTCATGTCATACAGCAATCTGTCTAGCTTCTGCTGAGTTCATCGCTCCACATGCACAGGAGGTGCCTTCTCAGGCTAATACCCTCCTATCACGAGCACCACCAAGTCATTAGCCACGACCACTAGTCGTCATCCCAAATGACGCGCGTCACCCAAGCCCACTTACTTTTCCTAGCGGTAATTATGAAACCTCTAAATTGTGTATCATCTCGAATCCACCTCTTCCTGTCTCTCAGCCCAACTCCCAGCATGCACTTTTCCACGCTTACTTGTACACTTTTCAACTTTTGTTCCGTTTTTATTTGTCAATACGCGTGATTCGGATCCATGTCACAGCAGAAGAGTGAAGCAATTCAAAACATTGATTCAAAATGCATCAAAATATGTGCATAATAATCGGCGTTTTTAGGTTCGTATAGGATACGAGTAATGGGTTCACATCACCCCACACAAGCACCGTTACCAACGCCCACAATGTCAAAAAAAAGTAAGTTGAAATATAAATCATATTGTGCCCTTTAAGTCATGACAATTGATTGACTTTCCAGAGGGGTACATCCTTTCACCCATAGCAGCTGTACACACGGATCAGAAGACAAGTCAAGAGGCATCACATTGACTGTTCCGAAAAATAAGTGGGCTCGAGCAGGGCACGTCGCTGGGAGGGATCACACGGTTGGTGGTCAAGATTAACGACAGTGGCAGCCCGAGGAGGGAAGAACACGCCAGAGAAGGCATCCACGGCGGAGATGGAGCGATAAGATCGGCTCGTGTGCAAGTGTTGGTTGGATTGTTGCATCGAAAGAACGTGACAACAACGGCTTTCGGGAGCCTTTGTCCAGCAGTGTATAGATCGTGGCTGATTGATGATGATGATGATGATGAGTTAAACAGCAGTGGAAATCAACTTCAATGCAATTGAATTTGCGTGGTTACATGATTGAAAATGCAGCAATAAGGGCAGGCCAGGCCATCTCAGTAGCAAAAAAGTGAGATTGTCCTTCGATAACCTGTGCCGAGCATAGCTCTTCACACCTTGTCACCTCACTGCTGCAGAGTGCCTCTACAAGTGATGGTGGAATGTCCTTTCAAAAGGAAGGGGATTAGGACGTGACGTGGAAAAATGAAGAATTATACTGCACGAGCTCGTTCCGACACTCGTGAACACTTCATAACTCTGAGAATGAGAGGAATAATGTCGGCCTGGGTGGAGTTCTGTTCAGTGCAGGTCCTAGTCTGTCCCATCGGGTCCAAACCTCTTTGAGAAATATAACTCTTCAGCGTTTGTTCAGCAATTCCCACGCATTTTTAAAAGGTTAAATATTTTAGCCTCATTGCTGCAGCAATTCCAACTGTGCATGCCAATATTCAATAACTGCCACGTGCTTGTTAACAAACGCGCACACCTACTGAACGTGACAGGAAGAAATTCTGCATTAAAACAATAGTTTGTTTATATTTGAAAAAAAAACCTTTGCGCTCCAAGCTTTGGCCTTCTGTTCACAGCACGCAATGTGTTCAATGTCATGTCTTACATGTACTGGCATCGCATATGTCAATCGTGTCAAAGGACAAAAATTAGAAGCATTACGATAGACAAGACCAGGCAGAGGTCGTCTTCTTGGGAGCGGCAGTGTTCCGCACGAGAATAAAAAAAAAGAAAATCGTCTCCATGACAGGGCTGTGGAGACTCCGGAGAAATACCCTCACGGACAGATGTGCAAGACACGTCTCATATGCAAGGGGCAGATGTTAAATTAACAAACTGCGGCATTATCTGCCTCATGTAAGAACAAAAATATATATAAAGCCATTATGCATTCCATTGCGGCTTTACTTGACAGAATGCTTCATGTGACAGCCGGGCGTGGTGGTGCACGCCTGTAATCCAGCGCTTGGAAGTGACGGTTGCTGGATCACATCGACAATGATGCTCTCAAACCCGCTGGGCTGCAAGGTGGCCATGTGCAAGCAGAATTTTGAAACTTGTCCGTGTGAACCTTTTGAATGATATCCCTTGTTGTATTTGTGGATTTTCTCTGGGCACAAGTTTCCTCTTATATGCAATTCACTCCTTAAAATAGAATAGGTCAAACATCTCGATGGAAGACCAGCCTTGAAAAAGAGATCTAACATTCAGTAAGGCTTTCCTGGATAAATATAATTTGGTCGGCTGGTGCAAGCGGTAGAGGGTATGGGTTGCAATGGCAAGGTTACGAATTCAAATTCCAGTCAGGGGTCAACTCACCCTTTCAATCCGCTTGGGGTAAATAAAATGAGTACCACTCTGTGACCAGTGCTTATCCACCCAGATAATGTGTGGGCACAGAAACACTTGAGGAACACACGGAGAAATCCATTAACCCAGCCACGCAGGAGCACTGATGTAGTGGAATGTTGCACACCTTTTCCAGCTTTGCCCACGCCCAACCCCTAACGCAGCTCAACTAGATGAGCGAAATCCAAAACATCAAAGAGAGCTAAGAAACCCAATTTCTGGAGGCTTAACCAGGACACACCTCCAATAAGCAAAGCTGGCTACGTACGGTGCGAAAGAAGTTCATGGTGATCTGGCAGGACCAGAATATTTATTTATCCCGGAGTAATCCGATGAGCCGTAAAGATCTTTTTCTTTGGCCGCAACAGTCGCGCGAGTTTGGTAGCGTTGAAGGGAGCTCCTCACCTGTGGCGGCCATCAGAGGCTGGACGTAGTCCTTCCAGAAGGAGCACTCTCGCATCTTGAGGCCTCTGTGGTTGCGCATGCCCGCCCGCACCTCCTTGTAGAAGCCTCCGGCCTCGTTGAGGGAGAACCTGGGCCACGCTGGAAGGAGGCGGCTGCCGGCGCCACGCGCGTGTCTGTTCGGGAAGCTCGGGTCTCTGCATCGGCACGCGACACGAGCGCAGCGCCAGCACGCACGCCGCCGTGTGACTCTTCCACAGGAAATACCACGAACCCTCAGCACCGCGGATTACAATACTAATTACCATACACACCACTGGCCTCTGCAGAACACCACAGTTACACATCATCAGCACCATCGCCCATGATGTATCCACTGCTGGACGAAGGCCCCCCCCCTGAGCCGGCAGAACTCATGACGTTGTCCCGATGCATCCAGCGCCTGCACACGTGGCAATCTCGTTGCTCTATCTCCTTGGGGAACGTCCTTTGGGACACGTTCCGTTACTTGCCTGCCACTCGGTATTATTCTTGACCGCTGACCATCATCCCCCTCAGCCATGACGTGTCCTGCCCAAGCCCACGAATATTTCTTCAAAGTGCGCTCTCTAACCCACACGTGATGGCCTTTCTTTTCTCTCAATGCAATGCCAAGCGTGTACTTCTCCACGCCGATTCGTGCACATGTTATAGCTTTTGTTCATTTCCATGTCAATGTCAACGTTTATGTTCGTGATCCCTGTATCACAGCAGGTGAAAAATATTGCATCAAAAAGCATAAACCATTTATGTACCAATAAATTTTGATAGATATATGTGTACATTTAGGCGTAGTATAAATGCCTTTTCAGCGTGTAGCGTGGCGACCATGAGGATTCCTCACCCGGACTTCACAAAGTTGGCCAGGTACCCGATGAAGTGTCGAGAGAGTTGCTGCTCGGCCACGCAGAAGCGGCCCTTCCTCTCGGGGTGCAACGGCACCCCGAAGGCCAGCTGCGTGTCGCTGTGTGGCTCCCACTCCAGACTGTCGGGGGGGGGGGGACGGGGGCGGTGAGGAGGCAATGACGGTGACGACTCTCGCGGGGCACCGCTACGGAGAGCCACTGCTGTGTCCAGTGGAGTCGCGGCGTTGGCATGGCCCACATGTATTGTAAATGCTTCACAAATTTGCCGGATTGGTAGCAACATCGCCCCCTCCTGGCAGACTAATGCCCTTCTGCATGGCCAGTTCTGTATTCACCCTATGCTGCACAGGGGCAGCTGCCACTGGGGGTCCCCTGCTGCAGGTTGCCTGGAGACTTACTGCGTCGGAGGTGCGGTATAAATATTAAGTGATGACGCTTTGGCCGAAAAGCTTATCTACGGTGCGCTGGTTTTTCATTGCCAAGTTTTGCTGAATACCAGCTTTCTATGGGGTCAGTACCTCATCGCAACACAGCTTTACACAAAAATTGAATTTATATTGGATCATCTTTAGAAGCGTAATCGTTGTCGCCGATATAGAGACAGACAGACGGACAGAGCCAATGCACTGACGTGTTAACCTTGGCTAGGACATTCGAGTCTGCTCAGGCAGAATGCTGCAGAGGAACAGCTCGCCATCTGTGCCCCAAACAGGCGCTCACTGGGCCCTCGTTCACGGTGTCCGGTGCACAACGGGTGTGCGTACGTGTTCCACGACTGCGGCGTCGGCACGTAGTAGAGGAAGGCGTTCGCTTTGCCGCGCGAGGCCCACATCTCCGCCATGTGCACGGCAGGGCAGACCACGTCGTAGTCCCTGCCACCACGTACCATCAACGGACACAAAAAAAACATTCTGTTTTTTTTAAAGAACTTAACAAACTACGCGCAAGAGACACATTTGTCTCGCTCAGCACGCGCTTAACATCGCCGTGTATTTTTCTAAAGGGGTTATTTGTTTACGCCGCACTCTTGTCCAACGCCCGGCCGGGGCAGGCGGCCGTGGCCACCGAGCCGCCACCCGAGTCGGCAGCCCGCCGGACGCTCACCGCGAGACGTTGCTCAGGAGCCAGGACTCGTCGGCGGCGAGGGGAGGTGGGTCGGCGCCGTCTCCCCGCTTGTAGAACCACCGCACGGCGTCGCGCGCAAACGAGCTGTCCCCGGCGCCGCGCAGCACCTTCTGCAAAGCGACGTCGAAGCCGGCGCTGCTGTAGCTCATCGTGGTGAACCTGGGAAACACCTGGACAGCGCCCGGCGGGACGCGCGCAACGCCAGCGCACGCGTAGGTTTCAGGGCAACATCAGAATGTGTCCAGAAAAACTCATCTGTCACGGGGCCTTGTTAATAGGGGTGGTGGGGCATGTAAAACCACGGGTGGGGGTCACAAAACGTTCAGTGTTAAACAATCCGTAATCAAACGTTAAACACCGAACAGAATAATTCACAAACCGCTTTTCTCCATCGTGCATTCTGCTCTCACCGCCTGTGTAGATGGAGGAAGGCTGCGGCAGGCAGGTGGGGGGGGGGGGCTAAGCCGTTATCAGCCCCCACCCACGGCAGTCTGAGGCTGGTGAGTAAGAGCGGCGGTGCCGTGCCGGTGAGCGGCACTGCCGTGCCGGTGAGCGGCACTGCCGTGCCAATTGCCAATCGGAACCTCAGCTGCCGTCGTCATCAGTGACGCTAATTTACAACAATAAATATATTACATTAAATAGTTTGTAGATGATTTACACTCCAGGCATTTTGCTCTGAAGAAGGTATACGACCCAAAGCATCGGCCCAAGAGAGAATATGTCTTTGTACTGGAAGGCATTTGCAGGTGGTGACTGGGGTGCGCGTTAGTTGATTGTTGCTTGTGCCGTTGCTCACGCAATCCTTTATTTTATTTATTGTTCAGCTACTAACGTGGAGAAGATTGAAAAAAAGAGGTTAAATTGACCCAGTAATCATCTTAGTAACAGGACTGTTGTTTATTCCTTGACAACATTAAACAATATTAAACCACTATAATATAACATGATGATGATGATGATTTATGTCTCCACAATTCACTCCGCATCTGGCGAACATTTTTGGCCGGATATCAAGACGTGCCGTCATTCTGCGAAATGTTTGCCGTTCCTCCATCGTGACATCATCAAGGTCAAGGCTGATGGGTGACGTTGACAATGGATGAGACGCTCCATCTTAAAGAAAATGAGATGCTCCATCTCAAGGGATTATCCGGGTGAATTTTGATTCATCAAATAAGATACATATAGTGAACTTTCTAGTTAACAACAACACAACTTGTAACGTGGCGCTGCACAGACGAGCGGGAAGGCAGCCAGCAGGCGGCACAGACACTCGCACTAGCTCTGCAGTCCTCTACATATTAAGATGTCTTCAGCCAATAAATGAGTGTTTAATGAGTGACGATGATGGTGACGATGTTGATGCCTACGTAGGTGCAGCGAAATAAGCATAGACCGTAATTTTACACAGTGATCCAACCGGCGTTCGTACCAGTCAGCCTCATATTGCTTACATTTATTACATTTCCAGCAAATCACATTGTGAGAGCCAAAAGCTACAACGGCCAACACTTTGGCTGAAACACCTTGTTTATATGTTTTGAGATCTTGGCATGAATGCAATATTCTCATGTGTTTTAACCACTAAAAATGTATTAAATATCTACAGAGGAAACCTGGTGAAATGGATTAATATACAGTTCGACTGTATACGTGTTTTGCTGTGCACAGTTGGCACATTTTACTGAACATGAAATAATTAGTTGCAAAGGCATCGCTTAACTGTGGCTCAATTGTCTCCTACCATGCGGCCGACTGCTTGGTGCAGAGCTTGGCGGTTCCAGCCCGGCGGCCGCCGCGGTTATTACGGTGCGGCGTCGGGGACAGCTTCGTCTGCGCGATGCGCTCCGGCTAAATAGGCGCCCTCTTCCTCGCAGTTGACGTTAAAGATCCCGTGGCGTCATTCGCAAGAGTAGGCCTCTGGTGCTGCCCGTGTCATGGTCCAAAGTTGCGGGGGCAGAAAATGACCGCCAAATTACAATTGGAATATTAATCGCAGTTGTCGCCCTCCTACTGCAATACACTTGGCAGGAACCTCCTTGAAAAGAGTCACGGGACTCGTTGAGACTTTCTTGGGTGAACAAGAGTCAATCATATACTAACTGTGGTGGATGAGGTCTGGTTGGAGTGGCTTTTAGAAAACTGAGCTGAATATTGAAAACAACGGTGCCGATGTGCCTCAAGAAGAATGTTTGATCCACGCGCATTACTGATGATGACCCGGACCAGAAATAAAAACTTAAAAAGATGCAAAGAAGTATGGGGAATTGCGTGCTTGGAATTACATTGAAAGATAGAAAGAGAACAAACGGATTAGAGAACACTCGTGATATTGACATTACAATCACGGTTAAGAAAAGTTTGATGGCTTGGGCCGGACACGTCGTAGCTGAAGGCGATGATGGTCGACGGTCAACAAGAATGACCGACCAGCAGACAAAGAGACGGAACGCGTCCGAGAGGTCGCCCTCTGCGGAGACGGAGCGACAAACCCGGGCGCCGGGGTTGCATCGTTACATTCGCGACGAATCTGTGCGAGGTGGCGACCCACTTACGGACAGAACGAGGACGACGTCCCTCGTCCCGCAGGCGGATCGCCCGCGGCCGACGTCGCTCGACGAATACGAAAATAAAACATCGCCCCCCCCCCCCCGAACCTGCGGGAGGCGCGAGCGCCCGAGGGCGCCGTCGTCCTCCGTGGCGCCGAGGACGATGTCCACGTCGGCCAGGGCCCCGCGGGCAGCGGCCTCCGCGGGGATGTCGCGCAGGAAGTGGCCATCGACGACCGCGGCCCAGCGCTGCAGGTACTCGCCGCTCAGCAGCTGGAACAGAACATTTTTTTTCGCGAGAAAATAATCCCCGGCGCTGGATACCGCCATCCTGTGCTTCTGTGACCGTCTGGAATGCGCTCTTCCTTCTGATATCATCTATATTGAAAACTAATTTCTTAAGAACTGCTTTTTGTATTTAAATTGTTGTCCTTCCCGCGCACCTCAAATAAGCACGGTTGGCTACGTATGCTGCGAAAGAAGTTCAATGTGCATACATACTGTGGAATGTGCATCGATTCGCACCTGAATATTGACGGCAGCGATAAAGGAAACAGGAAAAGGTGCGGCCCCGAAATGTCTTTCTCCTGGCGCTGCTGGCAGATGCACCTCTGCTAGAGGGTGTTTGGTCGATGGCCACCACACGTCTTACAGGATGTGGAAGTACCTGCGCTGTACCCCCCCCCCCCCCCCTTTTACTATAGACGCCCTGCCGATCGACCGTGGGTTGAGCCCATTTTGACTGCTGGGTGGAGAAGAGAGGTGGCCGGGGGGATTTGAGAGACCGGCACCGTTGTTTCAACTCCTGCGCCAGGAGACCGAATCAAACCGGCAACCTCCAAATTCCAAGTCCAGCGCGTTGACCGTTACACCGCTGTGGCGGCATTCTTATTGCTGCGATGATTAAACCGGCTCTCTGGGTGAGGATCAACTTGAGCTCTTGAAGTCAAGAAGTGATTTACACTGCAGTCACAACTCGGAGTGATGGACAATGCTTCGCTACGCCGACCACAATGTTGGCACAAGGGACACGTGCAGCAGCAGTAGCGGGGCTCCCAGAACCATTATCTTCACGGACTGTGGCGCAACTTGCCGTGTGCTGCGTGGGTGTGTGGGAGTGTGTTTTCAGTCGATAACAGCAAAACGCTTCATTGCCGCTTTTGTAAACTTTCCATTAAAAAAACCTCTCAAAACAAACACAGCAAAGAAAATTAATAAACATCACTTGGAGAAAATGAAAAAAAACAAAACCATTAGTACGCGTAGATTTTTCTATGGGTCCTCCGGGTTTCCCCCCCCCCCCACATTTAGAACCACTCGTTTAGAGTATTTGGCTGCTATAAATGTCCACGTGATGATAAGCCGCTTCGTTGAGCTGTCATTTGTGGCCAGGTCGCTTCTGAAAAAGAGATACGTAGCTCTGTGGGCCTAACCTGGTAAAATAAAAAATAGTTTTCAAATAAAAATAGTATTCATCGTTTATTTAGGGACTGCAGTCGCAGATATAAATAAATAAGTACAGTACTGGTTAATAGTGATGGAAACGAGGGACCAGTATTTACAGGCATCGTATCGCTACGCGTATTACGACCAGTTATGGGCCGAAAGAAAAACAGTGTTGTTTGCTTTAACGTCGATTTGCCTTTCATATTTTGCAAGGATTAATTTTAGCCAGAGCTGTCTGGGGCTGAGCTCCAGAAAATCTTTCCCGAGGGTTGAAAATATTTTTGGGGGCCTCGGAAAATGTTCCGTGAGGAATTTAAACGGCTGACAATTTTGCGTAGTAAATTAAAGACTGTAACTGAAATAACGAAAGTAAACATCAATGGAGTGTTTGGCAACGCACATCAGGCATGGGTGTTGGTAAAACAGCCAAGGAAGGAATTGCAAATACAGAGGGCCCCCTTAACTCTAACAGCCCTGAGTCCCCATCAACCGTGACCTAGTCCCGTGTACATGCTTGTGTGTGCGTGTATTTTGCTTGAGCCTATGCATGCGTGCGTGCGCATCCATGCGCGTGCTTACGTGTATCCCTGCATGCGTGTGCGAGCGTCGGTGTGTGTGTTTGCCGGTGTGTGCGTCGGTGTGTGCGTGGGCCTGTGTGTGCATGCGTCTGTGCATGCCTGTGCTTCCATATCTGTGTCCGTGCGCGTGTCCGTGCGTGCGGGTGTCTGTGCGTGCGTGCGGGTGTCCGTGCGTGCGTGCGCACCTGCGCTTGCGCCGCGTTGAGAGCGAGCGCCGAGCGGCCGCGCAGGCAGCGCACGAGGTACTCGCTGCTGGAGTGGCCGCAGCCCACAAGCTGGGCCAGCGACGCGGCCTGAGAGCGAGCGGCGGCAGAGTCCAGCTGCACGGCCGATGGCGACAGCACGGACCCTCCCTTGGAGCGCAGCGGAGACAGCGGACACACAAGCACAGGATGAGCACGCCCTTGCTCGAACCCTGTCGTGGGGAACGGTCGACCAGACTGTTTCATCTCATCTAGAATGTTCAACCGCCATGCTGTAGGTCACCCCGCTTCCCTTTCTGCTTATTCCTTCTCCCATCAGCATTTCTGTTCCCAAGTTCTTATTACAACCTTGCTCGAATCGAGGAACGCTTTGTTTTACTCATACACACGACGTCTTTAATAGTGCTGTTTGTGGCTGACCGCTTGACATGTTGGGCCTGTGCACGGCGTAATAACCTATCGAATCCAGGTGTCCTGTTCATAACCAGTGATTCTGAGCACCACCCGCTCCTTCACCACCCCAGCTGACGCAACGGCCGGTGGATCTCGAGTGGCTCGGGGCTGTCAGCCATGGTTTATGTGTGTCGGTCGTGGAAGGGGGGCGGGGGTGAGTTTTGGCCATACTTCACCATACTGGTAAGTCCGGGATGGTGAACCGAGCGCACGTTGTCTCTCACTAAGCGGAGGAGCGGTCCGCGTGCGTGACGCTTTCCAGCATCGCTGCTCAAGTCTACAAGGGTCGTGGGATTCTTCGCCACATGCAGGCAGTGCCCCAGTGAAGAAGCTATAATAACGATTACGAGCACTGCCTGCGCTGTAACGTGGGATATAACTTCAGTGGATTGCGAGCACTATGCGTTTCTTGCTATTTGTTTCCAAATGGCACCCTCTGGCATACAGTAATTTCAATCAACAACCTCAACCAAAATGACATGATAATACCAACTTCAATAATGTCACGTATCAATAGCAATATTACTGATGATACCAACATCAACTACAATAATATATCACTATCAACAACAATATGACATGTCAACAATACGAATGTTAATATCATCATCAACACCACGTGTGCACATATTACCAAGGCAGATGTACACGCATTTAACAACCACAACCGCAACTACAAACATATTATAATGAAAACCGTCACGACGGCAATATAATCACAACCACAATGAAACCATAACAGCTGCAAAACAACACCACGATCACGAGCACGGCGTGTGCGATGGAAGGACGTCGTTTCCACGCCGACTCTGCACCCCTCCGACTCCACCTGAGCGTCGGATAGTCCATAAACAAATTAACACGTTTAACCTGCTCTAGCACGTGCGTTCAAAACCACAAAGCAACGTTACGTCTATTTGTTACGTACATTAGTAGACCTTTAACACAATTTCTCAGGCAGCCATGTCCTCGGGAAGACACGTTTTTTTTTGGGATCTATGGATGTCTCCTTCCGACGTACGGTTTGGGAGAGTGTGACAGACGGATGGAAGCTGGCAAATTATGCAAATTGTTAAGGGGTGCTGTGCAGCCCTTTGTCGATCCACTGCTTGACGAGGGCCTCCATGCACCGTGTCGAGCACGGTCAGTGCGGGTTGGCGATGGGTGCGGCCCAGGATCGGTTCTGATATCACTTGCTGTGGATATCAGCCGTGGGCGAGAATCAAACTCGGGTTTCTGGGTTTATAGCACCGTCCGCTAACCACTGCGGCAACGCTCCTCCACACACCCCGTGTGCCAACACTCCGAGGTCTGCTCTCTAATACAAAATACAAATGTGGCAGCATTTGGACCGTCAGAGAAGCAGCAGCAGCGATGTGGATCACATGTACCCCATTCAATTGCAGGAGGCATTTTCCATAACCGCTAAACGGGGCCATTTAGAAAGTTATTATTTATTATTAAAACGCAACTGTGGCTCCATTTAACTGTATGAATGCACTGACCCGTTGCAAGGGAATTTTTGCTGGGAATGCAGAAATGAAAGTCCACTCAGTTTGTCAGTACACGCCCATCCAGCGCGCTCATATCTCAGCAGCAAGCAAAGGTACAGTAGGTAAAGGTGCAGCCTTGAAATGCCTTTCTCACGGCACTGCTGGCGAAAGGGCCTCCGCTAGAGGGAGCTGCAGAGGTGATTTGGTCTCCTTTTCCACGCTGACAAAGACGTTACCCTGCCACACAAACAGCTGATTGGCTAACTGTGGCGTACCCATTTGTAATTCTGGGTGGACAGAAGCAAGGGAACTTTTAAGGAAACTTGCACCATCGTTTCAGCGGCCACGGGTATGGAATCGAACTGGCGAGCTCTCGATTGCAAGTCCAAATGTGCGAACCGTGACACCACCACCACCACAGCACTCCCGTAACAGCAATGCCTCAAATTCACTCCATTAAGTTTTACTCCAATACGAGTCTTACTTCATTATATCCACCCAATTATGTTTTAAATTGATGTAATGAAATATGGGAAAATGACATTTTAACTCCAAAAAAGTGTAATCTTCGTTCAGGACTTAGTTCCTGATTAAGGACTAGGTGTGGCAGTTTAGGAAGGTTGGTAAAAAAAATTAAGGAATTTAAAGTTGTGTTTATATATAAATCCGGATGTTAAAAAACTGTAGATTTGCGATGGAAACTGAGACTGTTTTAGTTCAGCGTGCTTATTTATTTATATGTATGCACTAAAATGGAAACCGACAAATACATGCATGTAAATATCACCCCAAAGAAGTTATTTTGCAATGCTCATTAATGAACACTCTGCATACTTTTCAAAGCTATGTTTTTTTAACTAATTATTACCACAATGTCATGATACATGTTTATTAAGGTATACTGTATTATTCGTGAATGCTGCAAATGGTCACGAAGAAACGTACAATTTTACAAGAAAAGCTATATAATATACACACTTTATAACAATGTTATATCTTATATATTTAGCAAAATCAAAATGCTGTAAGTGTAAACAAAAGTAAAATGACCAAAGAAGACGTTCGACTGAGTCTCAAGACTCTCTTTCAACAGCGTTTTGCATTGCCATGTCCGGCCAATTCAATTCCTAACACGTGGGAGGAAACCCGAGGGGCCAGAGAAAACTCACTGCATGGGGATAGCAAAGTGCTGCACAGATGGTTTCAATAATCCATTTAATGTTATCAACTCCTGACTCCAACCCAGGAGATGGCCACCCACCTCACAACCCACAGGTCTACGTGAGCCACCAACCCTTGCACCCCAACGAGCATGATCGATATTACCCTGAATTGCAGGTGTGAGCCACAATAACTAATATCGAGAAACATCCAGCACTTACATTCTGTGACCCCTTAACTCTCACCACCCCCCTCCTCCCCCACTGTGGAGATATTTTCCAGGCCTCAGCCGCGGCTGACATTCAGCCTTGCAAAAGGATACTGCCAGACCTCGTCATCCATAATAAAGGTTTTTTTGGTTAGATCGCGTAAATATAAAAGTATCGTTAAACCCGCCACCACCCTAAATATAGAAAATTAGTAAGGTTTGTCACGTAAACAAAACATGCCAATTCGTTACTAATACAGCACATCGGTTGGAATTGGCACGTTCTGTTTATGTGACAAACGTTACTAATTGGCTGTGTCGGGTGGTGGCGGGTTTAACGACACATTTATATTTACGCGATCTAACCCAAACAACCTTTGTTATGGATATTGGTCGCGAAAGCCTACGTGTTAAACAGACATAGTCATGTTTCAACTTTGAACAACATTTCGCTATGGGAATAAAACTGAGCATTCGGTAGAAATCATGAGTCAAAGTCGATTGACCAGTGGTGGAGTGAAGTCAGTCGAAATGATTCCCACAAGAAAGAAGGCAAGATGCCAGTACAAACCGCCACACCACCGCCACTTTGACTGAAACGCTGTTCATATCATCAGTTCACATTTATCAATGGAAAGCACAAAACAAAATTCAGTTGCCGATTTGCAAAATGCAATTCGCAGGCTATCAGCACCACGCATTGAACACCAGAATGTTTCCTGTGAACCTCGTTCATTTCCCCCACTGAGTAGGCGTAGTAGGGGGAAGGGGGTTAACACGGGCGCGTGTGTGCGAGTGTTGGGGTTGGCGTTCACCTACGTTCTGTGACTCCGAGCCCGCGTGACCACAGAGGCTGCTGTGGAGCCCTGATAACGGCAGGAACCAATCCGAAGCAGAGCGCGCCGCTCGGACCAATTGCGAGAGCAACGCGACGTCGCACACCCGACTCCAGCAGATCCAAGACACCGGGGTGCCGGGTCACGAGCAGCCACACGTGGTGCTGCCCGCTGGCCGGTAATGACCCAACCATCCCCCTGACTGCGTGGGAGCGGAGGAGACGCAGCGCTTCGTTGAGATCGGCTTCTGCCAGGTTCGAATGACTTCACGGGACTAAACGTGGCAGTTGTGACCGTGCCGCTCGAGTCTTGCGATGTATGAGTAGCCTCACGATATTAAATGCTTTAGTTTCCTGCTTAATCTCTGCCATTGTTGCTATTAAAGAGGAAGTGATGGCTGTAACATGCCGTCTAAATGTGTGTTTTCTCAAACTGCGCGATGTTTTCATAAATAAAATACAATATTCAACGAATGATACTTTGAATGAAGGCATCATTTTGTATTGAACGGTGTATGTTATTTTCAATTATTGTGTTATTTTTCAATGTTTTTATTACCAACTTAATTTGGGGCGTTTGTATTACAAGTGGGTCCACATTATATTTGACCACAGAGTTTAGTCATTGTCTCCTTTCACACTTTTCAATGGATATGTAAAACGAAATATAATTAATCATAAGGCCAAACGTGACTTTCACACGGTACAATTATAAACTACGTTTTCCATGACTTAATGATCTTTCCACAATTTCACAATGCCCGGCTTAACTCACTCATACCACCACAGCTGGAGAAGGTAAGTAATGGTGATGACTCACTTAAACAGCGTGCTTACTGTGTGCTGAGCATTTCAAACTTGCCGTGCTATTTGTGGATCACCGTAACCTTCGTAAAATTCAACTTAAATTTAAAATCGGGAATATTTTTTTTCAAAGGTAAAGGTACAGCGCTGCATTATTTTGCCACTGCTTTGGGGAAGGGTGAGCAGGAGAGAACCCCTCGAAAGAGGGCGATTTGATTTTACTCTGCCATGTTGGCCCAGCCACCTAAGCAAAGGTGCGAGTACCCACGCTTTACCCCACCAAATCAAATTCAATCTGCCGATCGACTAACTGCAGTCTACCAATTTGTACTTCTGGGGGTGGAGGGGGGGGGGTAGTGACAGAGGCAGAAATCATTCATAAACTCGCTCCGTTGTTTCAAGTGCCACGCCGGGTGATCAAATCGAACGGATGCCACTTCACGTGGCTACCATTGGCAATGTCTGTGGGGCACGCAAACGCGCGGTGCTGCAGGTCACCTCTGGGGAGGTGGACGACAATGATCTTGCAAGGCACGCGAGCAATCAACGCTGGGCTATTTGATCTCAGAAGAAACGCAGCTGCGCCGCATTATCTGGAGCAGGCAGCAGACGCGAGTAATGACTATTGTATGCCTGGCACAGAACCAGGACTCGCTCGCAGGGCTTAGTGCACTATTTGTGTCTGCGGCACACAGCGCCGCGAAATGCGAGCAGAGCACAACAAGTCGTTGCGTGTTTCCTATACGCAAAGGAGCCCCCGTGTCCTCCACACCCACATACAGATCTTCGAGCGCGGGTCCCGTTTGCCTGCGCAGCGTGTTACGTGCCACTGGTTACGAATACTAAACGAATCGGAGTCTTTGTGCGTGGTTTTGCCGCGTATCGCCACCGCGTTAGGGTCTTCACGGCTGCGCTGCGTTTTAGCCCTCCGATCTATGTCCTGGTTTGTACCGCTCGTTGTTCGGCACAATGTCCAAAAAGTGTCTCTGCACCTGCCGAGAGCTTCTTCAGAACGTGGCGCGAAACGTCGGGCGCCATGGCGAACGACACGCGGTAACACCCGGGGAACACACCGGAGGGCTGGCAGTGTATCGATCGCGAGGCTTGTGCAGATGCACAGATGTTGATGTTCTTGTTCCCTGTGTCTCGGCTGTTAAGAGTAAAATAAGCCTGATTGTCACTCGCTTATCTTGCACAATATGCTCACACTCATAGCGCAATTAAATGCACGTTTTATACGACAGCGCTATCACTTCCCGCCCAATCATTTAGTTTGTGAGTACGGTCTTTGTGTGCCTCTTATTGCATGAATTGGGCTTCGTTCCTCTTTGCTTTATCCTCGGGACAACGCTGGCCGAATGTCTTCTTCTAGCGGCTGTATAAACCGACACAAAAACGCACGGCGCTAAAAATCCACCAACTATCATCTTCACAGATCAATATTTTAACAGCAATAGCTCAGTAGGCTGCAGGGCGCTGAGTCCCCGCAGGCTCAGCCGCCTTTAACAATTGTATTTCATCAACATTTGTTTGAAGTTTATTGAACATTGACTATGTCGTATATACCCACCACCCGCCCGGGGGGGGGGGGTATTACATAGCGGACCTCCTCCCCCCCATTAAGCAAGGGTCATGCTGCACCATCACACCCTTTGCACTCTGCGAGTCGGACGCCGCTAGCAAACGTCACGGCACCTTGCAGGAAATTACCGGCGAAAAGGTAAAAGGATATTTTTTCAGCCGCCGCCTGAACCTGAACCTCGTGGCCCGTGCGTTTCCGGCGCGTGCGGTGTGCAGGAATTGGCGCGGAGCGATGAGAATCGCTCGCCGCCATGGGAGTCACGTTCAGCGCGGCCAAGCAGCGCCTGCTCTCCGCATTCCAAGCGACCCAGCACGCCGCACCCCCTCCCGGTAACGAGCAATCAACGCCGCGGCCGGCGCGGCGCGGGGCCCCGCCGTGCCGAGAGGGACGCGCCACCGACTCCGGGCTGACAGGTTATGGCCTCGAGTAGCCGGCGCACCGAGGGGCCGTGGAACAAAGCAAACGTACATGCGGTGTTTTGGTGGTGCACAAGCGCAAACAATAAAGCGCTCGGCCCCTCCGTCAGTAACGCCGCCGTGAAGAGGAAAGTGACAGAATAGGTGACGCTTGTGTTGCGATCGAAACGTCGTGGTTTCTATCTACGTGACTTTACCGAAAGAACCAAAGAAGGTGGCTAATTTCTCTGATACAAAACAGGGCCATTGCCTGCAATGTTTCCTATTGTACCGCGGTTCCTCGTTGAGACAGTGACATTGAGGGATACATTGAGTTTTTGTTCTGCGTGGAAGGTCACGAGGGACAATCTCGTTCCCAAGACCGTGTCTGCGCGCACTTTGTGCTAGGGCAGAGTGTTTGTCGCGTGGTGTTGCCGATGACAAAAACGCGGGGCAACATTTCTCACAATGCGAGCATTGACACAAATTATGTCAGCAAGCGTCGCGTGTTAACGATGTGGCGGATGGATCAATTGGAACCCGTGGCGATGCGATGTGCTGCATGGATAAGGGGTGGTGATTTTATCCCTTGAATCGCTTAAAAGCGTTTCCCCGTTTCAGTCACTGGTGGTGATTTATAAAATGTATTTTAGGTTTTAAAACCACTGATTACGGACAATAACAATACTCAATAAATCCATCTGTTTAAAAAATGCCATTAAAAGTTAAGCGGAGTTCGTTTATGGGAAACAAGCCGTCCGTTGAACTGTGGGCGTGGAGTTGTTAAGCTGCCGTGGTGGAGACTGGGGGGCTACCCTGGGCCGTGTGCCATGCTGGGCGCGCCAGTGACGGACAACTTTACTCTCTTCCAGACCTCGGCATGGCTGTGATCATTAAAGACTTTCCAGAATGGCAACCGCTATTCGCAGTCGGCGAGAAAGTCAAGATAACAGGCGTGTAAGTCAAACACTGATGTTCGTTAGTGCACAAGAGTAAAGGTTGTAAAAATGCAAGCGGGAATTCACTTGGTGAAAATAACGACAACAATTTGAAATAATGTGGTTGGAGTGCTGGCGCAGTGGTTAGCGCACGACATTACGGACCTGGTCGCCTGAGTTCGATTCCTGGTCAAGACTAACCATGAGTGATATCTTAACCCGTCCTGGGTCTCCTTTTTACAAACCCGCACTGACTAGCATGGTGAAGTATGGCCACAGAGCCCCTACGACTTACAACGACGTAAGGAGGGAGGCCTTCAACCAGCAGTGGAACGTATAACGTACACAAATCAAACATATAAAACAACAACACTTTAAATTATATATACGGTATTTTATAATGGCGTGTGCTTTTATCCAAAGGGATGGAGACTGGTGGAAAGTCATGTCCTTCTGCAACAACAGAGAGGCCTTTATCCCTGCCAGCCACACGGTGAAAGTGAAAGACAGGTACGGGCTAGCGGGCGCACGTACGACTGAGATACAACAGCAGCGCACACCCACCCGCACGCCACACCGGTGGCCTGCCACCGAACAAGACACTTCAAACAATAATAACACGAATTACAGCCGCTTGTCGAGCCACTGCTAGATGTCAGCCTACCCATGTTGGTCATGGAGGTTGTTTGACTATACGTCACCATCCTGGTCAAGACAGCTTGGTGAGGGAGCGGAGGGGTGCAGACATATCACCTGTTTAGCCGTGGTGAGGAATCAACGCGAGGTAGCTGGCTTCACAGCACAGCACGCTGTTGCTTCCCCCACACAAGCAAGTATGCAGACTAAACATGACGTTAGCTCTCCTTCGTATTTTTACATTCCCCTGCTAAACACAATAAGTTGTAATTGCCAAGAACAATGGTATTTCTTATTTCCAATTAGAACGAGCCCACGCATTTCTCTAAAACATTCTTCTGGGCAATTCCACCAATTAGACAACCTCACGTAGTTTTTTCTCTGACTCATCCCAGACAAGGAAGTATAAAACAGTGTTTCGAAGGCTATACAAATATCTAGATGTTCCCTTAAATTTACAGTGCCACGCAGACTGCATACAACACAAGCACGTTGCTAGCATGTACATGAAGTGTGAGTCCACAGTCTGAATGCCAGCTCTCTAAACGTGTTTCTGTTTTCGTCACCCCCTCTGTCGCCGTGTCTATGGGTTTAATTCGTGGACATGTCACCTGATACTCAGAGCAGTGCGGTTTCACGGGTGGTCTCCTACGATATATAAAAAAAATATTTACTGAAATTTAATCTGACCACCCTCCTTTGAGGCTCTCCCAGGCTTTAAGACGGTGATGCGTCCCCAAAAGACAAATCTCTTTATTCTAGTTATTATGACACTATATTTTTTTCGGAGGCTACAGACACAAACATTCAAAGTGACTTCTTGTGTCTATCAGCACGGATAAGGCTGGGCTCACATCCTGTTTACAGCCCTGAGCTTTGTGGTAGAAATTACACATTCTTATGTCAAGTCCGAGTCTATCCATACAACTACCGTTGACTTCCCCACAAAGTGGTACTCATTGTATCGCTATGACGCCTGTGAGAAAGAGCTTTATCGCTTATCGGATTCCTCCAGTCGAAATAAAGATTCGATTTATGACTCGAGAAGAGTGATGGGCTGAGCCATCTCCCAACCAGGATTTGAACTCACAACCTTTTATTGTGAATCGCTTGCTCTGCTGCTAAGCGACGGACAAAAACACACAACACACGTATATATTACCTTTATAAAGGTGATGCATTCAGAATAAGTAAAATAATTCCGTAAGTGGTGGAAAGCCGTTCGATTTTTTTTGGGTTGTAACATAGCAACAGCTGCATTTTTGTATAACAGCCTCAGCACATCGGTAAAACATGCTCCTGGGCAGTTCTACATGGTAGTCAAACCTCACAGTCAAATATTCTAAATCATCACAACAATACAAACGTTGTGTCATGTTTAAGGTTATTTATGCACAATTATAGAAAACAAGGGGGGGGGGGCATAGGCTCGAATATTTTCTGGATTGGCAATCACCCTCGCAGGAGCGGAGAGGATTTAGACAGAAACAGCCACAGTGGGAAGTTTCGCCACGAGTGGGCTGAGCTATTGGTGTCGCCGAGATATGAAGTGAGCTCAGGCGAAGGGAGTGCCGGCAACGTAAGGGTGGCAAACCTCTTCTCTGCGTGAAGGGCGCACTGCCCCCCTCCCGCACTGCGTTCGCAATGGTCCAACACTGCGTTGGCACTTTCATTCCGCACTCAGGTGGCTCTTTGAAGGCTTGATGCGGGAGGACGCCGAGAGGATCCTGTTGATGGATGGCAACCACGGAGGCTCCTTCCTCGTGAGAACCAGCACCAGCAACCGCAGTGAGTCCCCGCACTTGGGTGCCCGGGGGAGAGGGCCCTTGCAAACGCCCACGTCATGGTGAAACTAAACTTAAAATTATTTGGTTTGATTACCAGATAAGGTCCACTGAGCTAGAAAAATCCACGCGGCAAAGGGGAGAACACGCAAACTCTAAATATACAGGTGTCAGGGTCAGGATCGAACCCACGACTTTCTGTATACCAGGTGAGGAGTTAACATCTCACCACCGTGACCAGCGGGCTCGCAGATCGGTGACACGTCTTCCTTTCCCAGCTCCAGGGCAACGATGATGGGAACGGCTTAACGCCTCGTATTCCCCTTTACCGGCTATGTTGCTCCAGTCATACTCGCCAGCATCACGATTAGCCGTGATCAATCCACTGCTGGATGAAGGCCTCGCCAAGCCATCGCCGCTGCTCGCGATCCAGCGATGCGGCGATCCACCTGGCGCCCATAGCGCCTGCACTGATTTCAAGCTTTGCTGCTCACCTTTGGTTGCATTTTCTTTCTCAATGTCCACTTTTTTATGCGTGCCACGGCAAGTAACCTACACTGATTCAACAGCACATTCCAATGTGCCCAATGAAGCACGTTGTTAATCAGTGTACGTTACCTGCTGCTCTGAATCAATCAGTCAACAGCCAACGTCGAAGGGGTGGAGCAGCGGTGCAGTGGTCAGCGCGCTGTGCGATGAACACGACAACCCACATTAGATTCACGGCTACAGCAAACATCGATGGCGAGATATCCGTGAACTAACACTGCACACTAAACTCTGTTTTATTTACCCCCTGTCACCGGCCCACACTGACCAACATGGGGAATATGGTAAAAAATAACTACCAACAAGGCATGGGGAAACTTCATCTAGCAGTGGATTGAAAATGGTTGGAATGTATTTCTTCATATTTTAATTTATAACATAGTGGACAAAACCTCATTTTACTTATTTTCTCAATCTCAATTCCTTAGTTGTTCAGACACAATATCTCGGTCAACTCAAGGTTTACGAATTCAGATGTTTGCATTTAATTATTGCGATTAACACCGTATTAAATAAAATGAATCCTGTTTGTTAAATATTTTGCTTAAAAAACAACCACTCGACGGAAATCAGTGAGCAGAGTTTGCTTCACCATGCAAAAGACACGCGCTGGTTTTGACCTTTAATTGACTTTCCCTTTGACATTAAAGCCAAAGCCATGCCACATCTACTTGAATATTCCATGGGGGGAACCAAAAACTATTTTCCACGATGTGGTTGTTGTTTATAAAAACAGCGTGCCACGATTCCGCCTTATCACGTTGTTGTAAAAAAAAATGTGTCCGGCTTACAATTTATACAGTGTAGTCTGACCCCTGCCATAGGAATGTGGAATTTCCTTCACTGGCTCAGAGCCACTAATTGAGATGAGTACCGCTCAATGCTCGGGTGAACACCGACAACGGCTACCGACTTTCATTTTACTTGACAAAAAATATTCGTACTCAAACCCATACGCACAGAAGTAGACATCTAAAGCCGCCTTGGTGCACAAGGATATTGTGTGACCAGTACAAAGTACACTCTTGTTAAAAACACGTGTTTTTCAAAATGACCCCAAAGTTCGGGGCTCATCTTACTCTAGGGAGCGCCCAACGTTAAACAACACGGTGAATGTTCAACGCGCAGAGATGTGAGTTCCGCGTGCCGTGCCGCAGATATGTACGCGCTGTCCGTGCGTCGCCAACGTCCCTCCGGCGCGCCGGACGTCATCAAGCACTACCGGATCCACACGCAGCCCAACGGCATGTGCTACATCAGCCAGCGAGCACAGTTCGAGTCCCTGGACGAACTGGTCGACCATTATATGGGTACGGTGGTGCCTTCATCGGCATCTTCACCATCACCGCGTGACATCAACATCATCATCAGCAGCAGCGGCGATGATCAATCTGATGCTAGATGAATGTCACGCCAAGGCATCACCATCTCTCGCGGTCCTGCGATGCCACCATCCATCTCGCTCCGGAACATGTGCTAATATCATCGCCCTATCTGCAGGCGAAGGTCATCCGCTCGAGAGAGTTCTAGAGAACACCTCTACAGCGAAGTCGTCATCATCATCATCAGCTATGGGAAATCCACTGTTTCACCGCGGTGGTCAGAATGCGTTCGCTAAGGCGTGAGCGGAGAAGCTAAATGGATTTTGCTGCATGGACCAGCATAGTGAAGTATGCTCAAACAAGCCCCGTGACTGACAGACAGCATGGAGAGGCCTTCATCGGCAGTGTTATGATTAAAAGGATCGGGATCTGCTGCCACAGTGGTGTAATGATGTGCGTACTGGACTTGCAAACTAGAGGTCACTGGTTCGAATCCATCTCCCGGTGCAGCAGTTGAAACAAAGGGGCAAGTTTCTTAAATCCCCCCAGAGCAACAGAAACGTGGCGGGGCACAGTTGGTCGATCAGCAAGTCACGTGTGGTGGGGCAAAGCGTGGGTACTCCCACCCATTCCATGATGCCTGACCAGCATGGAAGAGTAGGCCAAACACCCTCTCTTGGGGCTGTCGAGAGCTTCCTCCAGTGGAGGCCCTCACGCCAGCGATGGCGTGAGCGAGCGATTGCAGGCGCTGCACCTTAACCTCGTTAACGACGCATCCCACCCCTCCACCGCACAGAGCAAGACGACGACGTCTGCAAGCAGCTGAGGGAGCCCTGCTTCTCCCGGCTCCCCGGAGAATTGCGCAGGATGAACGTGGCGCCGCCACCCCCGCCTAAAGCTGAGCCCCTCAGGGACTCGGTCCGCTACTGGCAAAGCCTCCACAGGTTCGCGCGCGTTGCTTGCGTCCGCCCGCGTGCCCTGGCTCGACGCCTGGGGAGGATGGCCCCTGGCGTGCACCGCTCGATTCGCTCGCTCACTCTCCTTGCGTTATTACGACGCGAATGTAACAGGAGCCACGCAGCCCACGCATCATCATCGTCATCATTATCGTCGTCGTCGTCATCATCATCGTCGTCATCATCATCGTCGTCATCATCGTCATCATTGTCATTATCATCATCGTCATCATCATCGTCGTCGTCATCATCATCGTCGTCGCGAGGCATGCGAGGTCACTTCATTGGCCACTCGCTGCCCCCCCCCCCTCACCACGCCAGGATTATTCCGCTAATTGAATAAGTCGCGAGCTCTGCCAAGTGGCATGAATGTGCGCCTTTCTGTTTCGTGTTAAATTCCGCGTGTCATTTAAAACGATTCCGCCTCCACGTGAGGTCATGACCGCACAGCCACACTGACTATAGATGATGATGATAATGATCGTTGTCTTAATGTCGCTGGACTGATTGGAGGTGATGTAAAACTGATTATAGATAATAATGATAATGACGTTATATGGATTTCAGACGGTGGTGTTGATGAACTGATTGTTGATCTTGATGAGTAACTCATTGTAGATGATGACGGTGGTGTCGATTGTAGATAATGATGACGTGATGATCTGAATGTCGACGCAGACAGCGACTAAGTACACGTCTGACGTTCCAGGCAACCCAGCTCGATGTGTGTAGAGGCTCTGTCCGCGAACAGAGTCAGCTACGGACTGCTGGAGAGCATGCGGGATCATCTCAACTTTTCCGGGATGAAGAGCGACAGCTAAAGAATGACCGCTGGACACAGAAGTCGTTACCCAAACAAGCTAGCGGAGAGTTGAGTCGACCTTCACGGCCACCGCTCGCTTCTGCTGCTGCTGTTACGATGTGGCCGTGCTGCGGTAACAGCTGCAGCTGCTAAATAAGAATTATGGCTGCTGCAGAACATTTCCGCTGCGGGAGAGGCTCGGTTCGCCTGTGAAGGTTACCACCGAAGCAAAATTGGAATGTATTTTTTCATACACAAGTTATGCTCAACAATGTATCCGCGGGGCTTTAAGGAGATTTGAAGGAGCTCTATCTGACGCGAGCTCCAAACGCCCTCGCTGTGAACGGGAGCTTTGGACGGCTCGTAGTCTGTACGCGCGCACGCCCCTTCTGCTCCATCCACTGCTGGATGAGGGACACTCCTGTACAGCTCTCGCGGGGGGGGGGAGGGTTATTTGACCATACTTCACCACGCTGGACAGCGTGGCTTCGTGAAGGTGGAAAAGCGCAGATGTGGGAAGCATGCAAGTACAGCACAACAATGAACTTTGCTGTACTTACTTGCCAGCTACCTACCGCCTAGCCCCACAGCGGCCGATAGCAACCCGTTTGTGCATCATGGTCACCAATCAAAGCACCCTCTCGGATCAACATTGCTTAGTACCTGATAGGTTGAGCACATTCCTGGTGATTATACGCAGAATAACAGAATACTCTCCGTATATACATATGGAAAACTGAATATTGCAGGGATCTTGACATTGTGTTCATAAAACATGTATAATGTGTATCCACACATTGTATGGATACCATTCTACAGGTTTCATCATTCACTTTAAGAGTAAAATTGCTAGACTATTGCACAGGAATTTTGTTCAACATTGTAAAAAACATGCTTTCGGAAATGATTTCTAATCGAGCTATGCAAGTATGAATGTACTTATTTATTTTGTTTCTCTTCTGAAATAATCTAATAATTTAAATGTTCAGTAAAAGGCTTCACTTTACGATCGAGGGACAGGATGTGGCTGGACCACTTCCCTGCCCTACATAAGCAATATTAGTTTATTTTTAAGTATCAATCTCATCGATATTTTGTTACTAAATGATTCTTTGTACCGCTATCTTTCATTATCTGCTCAAAAAATAATACAATTTTCCAGCGCGGCATTATTGTCAGTTGTATTGTTTCAGGAAAAATATTTTCACTTGCAACGGATATCATCCGGTCAGGTGGCTCAACGTGAGCGGATGACAAAGCCCACCATCCAACCAGGGTCGATAAAATGAGTAGCAGTTTATGGGGAAGTTAACAGTGGTCCTCCAATAGATATACTCGCCCCCGCCATATGCACGTGGAATTTCCACCGGCTCAGTGTTACAGAGAAGAGATGAGCACCGCCTCAATGCCCATTCGAGTAGAAAATCAGTTTGACCTTTTGCCATTTGAGCTTGGTTGCTGTTCCGCCTGAGCGGCTGTCAATGACCACAGTTTGCTCCACCTTGGCATCCTGATCGGTTGCGCAGGGAACTTAATGTGGCAGACAGAGTGAAGGTTACCACCTTCGTCCACTGTAGTTGGCAGCCTCTCACGATAGTTCCCCCTGCGATCGTGCAGTGGCGCAAACGACGAAGCGTGAAGTTAACCGCTGCCCATCTACGCCGTCGAACGCCGGCGCCAGAGGCAATTCATCAGCCCACACCCAACGCCGGTCGATTCATAACGTTTGTTTCTGTTCCAAAAATACGTCGCTTACATCCGCGACGCGTCGCACGAAAAGACGACGACCAGCAAGAGTTGAAATTCAGCGTTTGGGACGTTGTCGATACGGAGCGCAAGCGGCCCGGGGGCCGTAACTATCTACGCCGTACCCGTGAATGTGAGCTCTGCTCGTTTGTGTTAAAAATATCAAAGGGATGGGAGAACTCTGGTGTGAGCCGATCGGGGTTTTGGGGGATAGTGTGTGCAATTGAAGTAGGGTTCGTGTCATTTCCAATGTGGCATTATTCAAGCCCGTGCCCCAGGACACGCGTGACAAAGGTAACTCGTGAAACAAGGCGTCTCTATGCGCAATGCCGCAGGGTCTGTGAACAGTATAGTTCTGTTACAGCACATGCAGCAATGGTGACATTTTTGAAAATTCATGTAAAAGAAAATCCACACCCTGCCTTTCATTCTGTAGGTCCAGTCATTGCACGTAGACCACGTAACACAAAAAAAACACACGCTTTGGCGACACCCTGACCCAAGAACTTCAATTGCAGCGCCCTCTGTGTTTGCTAAGCAATAGCCACATGCAAGATATGGCGATGATATGAACGTAGCTACTGAAGTGCCAAGCATCATTTTAGAACCCCTATAACCAGTGCTATAATTTGCTGTCATATGCTTTTGTTATATTCCAGTTATAATAATAGTTGACGTGCCCTTAGTCAATTCACTGGTGGATGATAGCCTCGCCACGCTATTTGAGCCATGGCGGATGTATAGCCATACTTCACCACGATGACCAGTGACTGTTGGTAAACGGGGGCAGGGCCAGGTATCGCTCGGCACCAATGTTTTGCCCTGACCAAGAATCGAGTGCAGAGAAACCGAGTTCCAAGTGCAGTGTGCTAAGCACTGCGCCACCACTCCCGCCTCCTCTATATTCTAATAATATTTATTTTTTCAATGAATGAGCAAATCTCTTTCACGTCACCACTGAATTTGTTGTCCACGTCTTCTCACCAGGTCATAGACAACGCCCATCCATCTCTAGTCCCCATGGGCCCTCCCCCCGTGCTGTCACCAGCGAGCTGTGGGGGATGATGAAGCAGTGGCAGAATCCGAAGCGTCGTTCCACGCTCCTCGTCTCCCCCGCCCACGAGAGGCGGCTCTCCCGGGTGGCCCCTGCTCCCCTTGTGTGTCTATAGCACCACGGTTGCCGAGCACAGGCCGAAAAGGCCAGAACGCCAAGTTGGTCAGCAACCATCGGCACTTACTGAAAGTGCGGTAGGTGTGTAGAGTTTCCTAAGTAGAGCGAGGTTGTGAGAACTTGGGGAGAAGAGACGATGGGGGTGGAAACTCGAAAGTGGAGCGGTGCGTGGAAAGACGCACACAGAGGAGCGCTCTGGCAGACAGTGCGGTGAGCGAGAGGACGCGTCAGTGCATCTAGCCTGGCGCAAACGCTGTGGCGATGTCACCGCCACGTCGTGGCGAATGGTGTGTGTTGTTGGTGAGACAAAGGCGGTCGGGTGTGATGCTGGCCGTTGCGGTCTTCATAGAAGCTCGCTAACAGCACTTGCCCCAACGGTCTGCTAAAGGCTTTACGGGGAATCTGTGTCTCTTGTGTTGTTGTGACGTGCAGTATGGTAGTCGAACACAGTGTGGGTGAGACAAGTCAGTGAGGCTGGTTGCCCGTGCCCTCGGCATTGTTGTAGAACCAAGGAGTGAAGTTCGTGAGAAGGGTAACCGTGGAAGAAGCCAAAGAAGAGTGATGAGAAGACGATTGACTGCTGTGACAGGACTGCCACACCGATGATGTCCGCTTAAATGTTCACTTGTGCGTTCAACCGGTTCGCTGCTGCTCACGTTCCAAGCGACTGCTGAGGCCACGCTGGAAACGAGGCAGCTGCACCTCCGGCGAAGATCGCCGACAGAGCATAACACAGTACAGTAGTTTGCTCGAACACATGAATGACTTAGCCCAAAAAATATAAATACAATAAAGTATTAATTCACCTGCACCAACAGGCTCCAGGAAAATGCGGAGGGAGAAACCTCACGGTCGTTGTTTCCAACCGCCCAGCCACAAGTGCGAGGCGAGCATTCTTAGCGGTTCTAGATTTGAAGCTTTCGTGACTGCAAGGATTCATACTCTTAGTTCTTTCGGTAAAGTCACGTAGGTAAAAAATTCAATAAAATGTAAAAAAAATTTTACCTACGTGACTTTACCGAAAGAACTAAGAGTATTCTTAGCGGTGCCATTCTCTGTGCTATTCGACTGAGGCGGAAAGCGTCTATGCATCAGCTCTGTCCATCAGCCCTTAACACGGGCACGCGATAACTGTTGCAAAGATTATTTGATATGAACTGAATATAAAGTCGTGTTTAGCGACTGACCGTAGAGAAAAATCTATTAGATGAAAGGGCTGCCCAAATAGCTGGCGATAAAACCAGCGCTTACATTTCTTTCAAAGTAACGCAACGTTATTATCGCTAATTAAATACTTCCGAGGACAAACGCGCGTGGTTGTAAGGTATTCTCGCGAACGTGACGCAGTCGCTCTTCATCTGCCTTCACTCGGTCGTGAATGAATCGCGACACTTCGCTCACAATAATCGAAACGTCCAACCACCAAAGCTTCCGCAGAGTTGACGTTTGTAGAAATTTGGCTCTGCAGTTGACCGCCTGATCTCCTCCTTCAGGCTCACAGCGTAAACAGGGCCTAGTGTAATAGTCGCTGATGAAGGATTTGCATTAACCCCCCCGCCACCATCCCAAAAAAACTGCAATTACAAAGCCACGTCTGTGAAAATGTATTTTTTTCACTCTCTCACTATTCATAGACTTGTTGATGGACAGGTCAAAGTGTTCCGGGGCACATAAACGAGTGTACGGCGCGGCACTGTAAGCCCAAGGGGGTTTCGCGGTAAGCGGCATGCTCGAAAGAAACCTCTGCCCTTCGTGTCACTTTTTTCCTTCTAAGCGCTCGAGTACCGCAGAGCGAATTCAAACTCCACACGCAGCGGCGTTACACTGCAGCGGAGAGAGCCGGGGGGAGGAGGTCATTCAGTCGTACCCCGGTCCCTGCGGTGTATACAGTACTTGCTGGCAGGACATTAACCGTCGTCCGGCGAAAGTACCTGCCAAGAACAACAGCCAAGGTCGCGATGGTTCTTATTTCGGTGCAAGGTGAAGGTGCAAAGGTGCAGCCGTGTAATTGCTTGCTCGCGCCACCGCTGGCGGAAGTGCCTCCACCGGAGAGAGCTCTTGAGAGCTCCTCCAGAGGCTATTTTGGCGAACTCCTTAAAGCTCGCCAAAGACGTCTTGGGAGAGGCGGGGGTGCACATAATTGACCCCAATAAACACGCGACCTACTGATTGACTCACTGCGTTGTACCCACTTATACTGCTAGCTGGACACAATTGGGGAGGGGGGGAGGCGTAAGTCTAAACTTCCTCGTCGGGAGATCTACATTGAACTGGAGACCTCTGGATTGGAGTCCAGTGCGAGAGCTGCAACACCACGGCAGAATCTGGTTTCTCATTGTGCCCGCTAGAGATGTAGCTATGTGCAGCACTTTGTCAATCCACTGCTGGATGAAGGCCTCCCCTTGCCGTGTCGGTCTTGGAGGTTGTTTGACCATACTTCACCAGGCTCGTCCGTGCGGGTTGGTGAGGTCGGAGAGCGCGGACGTGAGATCGCATGAGTGCGGTACAACGATGGGTCGTGCTGTGCGTGCCTGCCACGTAGTTCCCACATATTTAACAAACGCATAAAAAACGCACACATTGCAGGGCGGCGGAGTTTAAATGGTAACGTTGGACTGTTTACGCATAGCTGGACGCACTCTGCTATTTAGGTAGGACTAGGTGGTCTGTCAAGATCATTCCAACTCACGTCACTCCAGCTGTGACCAGGAGACGTATCACGTGGCAGCCGATACATCCGCTGGCAGTGCTGTGTGCGGGCCGTTTTGAACACTTGTGGTGAATTGTTGGCACGATCAATTTACGTGACATTTAGGCTGCAGTTTAAACATTTTGGACCCAGCCGTATTATAAGTGCGGTGGTCATTTTTTAACGCAGCCTTTATGGATGTCTGCACGAGGCCAGTTAGAGGCTCCGTGAAAGGTTTCTGGAAATAAGCCAAAGGATTTTACACATTTCCAGAGCACCGTGCAATCGTGCTTAACTGTAATAACTTTTTTGTGCAACAGTTAGTTTTATGTGTTTATGCATGTCGTGATAATAATAATCAAATACGGCCATTTGTCAATACACCGCTGGATGAATGCCTCGCATACCGGCAGGAATGTACGTAATGTTCATATCCTTCAAAACAAGGCCTTGCTTAATTCCTCACTGAATATTTTCCAGTTTGCTAGGCGCAGCACTAGTAGCCAGAACCATAGCAGCAAGCGGCGTACTGGATGCAGTGTGCTGGGAAACGACATATTTTACGCATCACCAACCTAGACAGACCTGCCTCAAATTAAGCCTGTTTATAATTATATTACCACACGGGGTGGGGTGAAGTGTGGGTACTTCCATGTCTTCCAAGATGTCTGGCCAGCGCGGAAGAGTAGGCAAAATACCTTCTGGAGGAGCTCTCTAGAGCTCCCTGGAGTGGAGAAGCCCTTCTACGAGCAGCAGTGTGAGCAAGCAATTGCAGGGCTGCACCTTAACCCTTTAAAGCCAACAGACAACCTATTGAGATGACAAGTCTGGAGTCTGGAAATAAATAATAATAATTATGAAAAAGTGTCTCTTGTCGTTCTAACCCACAAGACTTGTAAACTCGCAACGGGACACTTGAGCTGATTAGACGCGGCCCAGCGACGTCCGCCAGAAGTGGCCGTGGACAGCTGCGGGCTCTGTGCCACGTGGGGGGGGGGGGGGGGGGGGGGGGAGCGCTCGCGGGCGTGCCGGCGTACCATGAGGATGGCGCGCTGGAACAGGCCTCGGCTGCCCGGGGCCACCAGGTGCAGCCCCACGTTGTCCGCACTGCTTCGGTCGCCAGCGACCGTCACGGCACCGGCCGAGCCGCCGAAGAGCGCCGCGTGGTCCCGAACCCAGCGCAGGGCGGCTTGCTGGTCCAGGAGGCCCCAGTTGCCGGCCGCTGCCTCGTCCCCTGGAGAGCGAGCGGGGCGAGCGGGCAGGTTACGGCTCCGACTGTCATCATCGCAGCCCCTTGGGCTTCAAATGTGCCTTTGCAAGTTTACAAACTCAACGGGTGTAAGAATATTTCCGAGAATATGGACATAAACTAAACAAATCTTTTTATTAAATGTTACCAGGTAAAGCCCACTGAGCTATATAGTTATTTGTCAGAAGCGACTTGACCACAAATAGCTCAACGAAGTGGCTTATCATTATGTGGACATTTATAGCAGCCAAATACTCTACACGGATTTTTCTAAATGTGGAGAAAAAAACCAGAGGACCCATACAAAAATCCACACGCCCACAGGGAGAACATGCAAACTCTAAATATACAACAGGCGTCAGGGTCGGGATCGAACCCACGACTTCCTGTATACCAGGACGAAGAAGTAAACATCTCGCCACCATGGCGCCCAAATCAGTTCATGTAGATGATCCAGGCCGGCACTGGGGGGATGATGGAGCGCGTCCTGCACCACCAAATGTCCCTGTGACAACACTCACGATCACTCTCCTGCTGAGTGGTGAATCACCATTATGGTGGCCCCCTGCACACAACGGCTCAACTGCCCCCCCCCCCATGGGATGATGATGAGGATGTTGAGGATGCTCTCGAACAATAAAGTATGGCAAATAATGATGATGTTGGTTGAATGATAATAAGGATTATCAGCTACGATGAAGTACATGTATTATTTATGATGATGATGCCGAGTAACATTTAAGATGCTGCAAAACTTGATGCTGACAATGATGACGTTGGAGATGATAATAATAATTTCAGAACTTTGTCAATCCACTGCTGGATGATAGCATCCCCGCGCATTGTTGGTCACAGATCTGATCGTCTTTCACCACACCGGTTAGTGCGAGTACAAGTGACGCACAGCGTCACCGCGTCGTCTAGACACGTCTCGACTCACTCACTGCGTGCGGTGACATCAGCGGCGTGCGTCAGCTGCTGCAGTGGAAAAACCAAACTGGCACCTCGTGGGCCGCAACCGGGCTGGCTCGGCACGGGCACGCCGGTGGCCGTGCCAGTCGAAGCCGGCGAGGGAGAGCGGAGGGAAGGGGTCAAAACCTTACCGGTGCTCAGGAAGCCGAAGAGGCCGAGGCGGTAGTTGGCTGTGACCACGATAATGTCGCCCAGGGCGGCGAGGTAGGAGGGATCCAGGGGGCCCTGAGCCGAGCCCCCGAAGGAGTTGTCTCCTCCGGGAAAGAACACGAGCACGGAGGCGTTGTGCGGCTGCTCGGAGAGAAGGGAGGAAAGCGCCGAGTGAAAGGCGTGAAACCCCCCGGCACACGGCGGGGCTGGATAGGACTTTCAAACGTCTTCCTTGGGAGGCCTCGGCATCGACACACCGGCACCACGGTCACTTATGTCGCTGCAAGAGCCTCTCACCGCGACAGACGCGACTGAGTGCGGGGAAATTCGAAATGCCATGAACTTCAAATGTCGGTTTGTGAAAGGCGATATTGGGATTCATATTTGTTATTTGGGTTAATGTAATTAATGATGGCTACGTTGGCTGGTGGAGGATCATACAACAGGAATTTGGTGAGATCATTATGTGGCCTAACCCAAAAATGTGTTATAAATTATAAAACTAAAAACTTTAATATTTTTCTTTTACCAGGTAAGGCCCATATAGCTCTTTTTCAGAAGCGACCTGGCTACAAATGAAAGCTCAACAAAGTGGGTTATCATTAGGAAATTTATAACAGCCAAATACTCAAAACGCATGTTTCTAAATGTGAAGGTAAAAATTGGAGGACCTGGAAAAAAATCCACACAATCACTGGGAGAACATGCAAACTCCAAATATACAGGCGTCACGGTAGGGATCAAACCCACGACCTCCTGCATACCAGGCGAGTAAGATAACATCTCGCCACCGTGTTGCCAGGTCAAAAATGCTCCCCTCTAGTAACCGATTAGTGTGGTTAAGATCCTCGCAGTGATAGATAAATGTAATTTGCAGGGCGTTTCGAAGTGGCAGGCGTCATGTGTGTTCGTGGAATATTAAATTCAATTTGTATAAAAGCCAGGCCTGTTATACAAATACGTTCTACTGCTGAATAAAGGCATGCCAGATCTACCCAGGATAACGTGGATTATCTGATTGTATGTCACCAGGCTGGTCAGTGCAGGCTGGCGAAGAGGAGGGTGGGCCAGGCCCGGTTCGGATATCACTCGAGACTCGCGTTAGCCACTACCGGGAATACAACTCATCGGCGGGTTCATGTCGCAATGCGAGAGGCGCTGCGCCGCCACTCCACTCTGACTGTGCCGGCGTGGGGAGGCCTTCATCTCACCTTGACCTTGGGGACAAAGATGTTGAGGTAGAGACAATCTTCAGACAGGGAGGTGCCTCGCTGACCGTCTGGCTGGAGACAGTCCGGCCTAGTCCCACCCAGCAAGGTGTCAGTACACTTTGGTTTTTTGTTAATAACATGACGCGCCGGGCGTAATTGTCCATTTGTAACCCTGAGAAGGGCACTTCGAGCCTGGGTGTCTCCAGTAATGAAGAGTACACCTGCAATCGACCGTTCGTTCGTCAGGAGGTGCGGACACTTGGCCCTGAACCTCCGCTCTCAACGTCCGCACGGCGGGTGTGGGAAAGGACGGAGGCATGCGGGAGACGCACGGAACGTCAACGCTAAATATTTAATTTCTTGAAATATTTATTCAAGAAATGAATACACCCCCAAGAGGCCTTTATTTTAGCCTCTACACACATTTTATTTTATTAATAGTTTTAAAAAAATGTTTTTGCACGGAATATTTTCAATTGCGCCAATGCTACCTCATGCGCTACTCTTTCACAGCATTTGGCCTGAAATCCTGGATCGCAGTTCAGGAAAAAGTTTTGGAAACAGCAATGTCCAGAGGCATCATAAATTACAAAATCGGTACAAGATTTGTTTCTAATGCACCACAGATTCATGTGTTTTGGAAGCACTGAATCAAATGAATGAGTAATTTGCAAAAAAACATTTTAATTCATTTTAACTGCAAAATTTGAATTTCGTTGACATGCCAAAACTTAGAGTGTCATGTATATTATCAGAGGGAAGGAAGTTATTCAGATGGTTCCAATGTTTCAGATATTCATGTCTTTATCCATAGGTAATGCTGGCTGCTCAGTGTTACCCTAAGAAGGTAAAGGTGCAGGACTGTACTTGAGCGCCCATGCTACTGCTGGTGGAAGGGCCTCTACTAAAGGGAGCTTAATAGAGCCCTTGGCCTACTCTTTCACGCTGGCTGGACTTCTAATAAAAGGCGGATGCAACCACACTTTAACCCACCACATGTAATTTGCCAATAGACCAATCGCAACGGATCAATTTAAACTGATCGGTGTACAGAGGTGGGCGGATTTCAAGAAACTTGCACCATTGTTACAACTGCCGCACCGGGAGATCAAATCCAATTGTACTGGTCACCTCTGGATAACGATTACATCGATGCAATTCCACACCCGTTAATTTGCAATGCCCTGGACAGCACGTACAACAGCTCATAAACCACTGACACTCCCAAAAAAAACGACATTTGGAATATTCCAATTAGAAACATATTCGGCGGCGTACATGTAGCGGTCTGCGTCCCACGTCTCGTTGACGGCGAGCGGCCGCGGGGGCTGCGGGCCACTGAAGCGGTTGGCGTCCAGCGGAGGCGCGGCATAGGGGACGCCGAGGAAGACGTCGACCACCTTCACCTGGGAGTCCACCTCCACCGTGCGGGAGGTCCCCTGGAGCTGCCCAGAGCCCAGCGGCACCGTCGGCCTCATGGGGCCCTGGCCGCCCCCTGGGGAGGGAGATGGCACAGCGCTCGCAACTTGAAACGCTTTCCAGCACGAACCTCGGGTTCGAACTGTTCTTCTCCACTAGCATATCCAAGCAGTGTCAGCGTAGGCATCTCACAACAACTAACTCACAGCCACGACTTGCCTTGCTCTTATTTTTATATTTAAACAACTATAGATTGTATTTTTTTATATTTGGGTTAGAACGCGTAAATATATAAATGTATCGTTAAAACCCGTCACCACCCGACACAGCCAACTAGTAAGGGTTGTCACGTAAACAGAACGTGGCCAAGCCACAACATTTACAATCTGAGTACGACGTTTCGCCAGTAATTACAACTTGCTTCATCAGGCGACAGTCAGATTTGTGGAGAGGCCTAACTGTTTCGTTCCTTATATGAAGGCGTAGATGTGGAGACCACGCTTCTACACTCTTGCGCAAAGTGTGAGGGGGGGGATTAATGAGTCAACGTACATGATGCATGTGCATTATGCGAGCCCTTTGAACTTGCCCTTCCTGTCTATTGTGTGTATTAAAATAGCCATACTAACAGTAATCCCTATTGAAGTATGCTGCCCTTTGTAGGCATGCATTTAAATAATGTATTATTTGATGATTCGCTTCCACGCAGCACTAAGGCGGTAGCTATTCGAACGGTGAATTTTTTTTAATTTCTTTCAATTTCGATAGATTCTCTAATTAGTCTTGGCCAGTAGTAGCTAGTTTTGTACGCGTGTTCTCTTTTTCTCATTGTACAGGATATTCTATTTTTATGCTTGAATACTAATGTGATTGCGCTTTGGGCGCCACGTGTGTAGGCAAAAATCTAATTTACTTGATTCACAGAACAGGTGATTTCCCCGCTGGCTATTTGCCAAGCCGAGCAGAATTCAACCTGTGAAACTCAGGCCTCACAAGACATCTAAATCTGGCTCAAGCCCAAGTAAAACCAGGGGCAGGGTTACTAATTGTAATTGTGCACAGCTCTGGTCGTGCAGTGGAAAAACAACCGGGCCTCTCCTGCCCTGTGTTGGGCTGGCTCAGCACTGCCCTGACATGGCTCGGAAGTGCAGTGGAAAAAGAGGTAAAAATAGGTACAACTATAATTGTTGCAGGTGTCTCAGACGATTAACTATTTTTTCTAATCATAGCATCAGCAGCCATGATCTATCCACTGCCATTTCTCACAGTCTTGCAATGCAAAAATCCATTGAGAACCTGTGTAGTGAGTCACTTCGGAGACACTAGTTATGAGTCAACAACTGTTTATTCTACACAATATAACACCGTTACACACGGGACTACTATATGCCTTTCTCTTACTCACCGTTACACACGGGATAACTATACACGGGTAAGAGCAACCAACGTGCTGTCTGACCCACGACGTTGGGGACGAAGACGTAGCACCTCGGGTTCACTTCACCTGCAGACAGCCCCGATCAAAGATCGGAGCTTCCCTTTTATCTCTCTCGGCGCGGCCTAGGCCCGCCCTCAGCCGCGCCCCCTTCTGGAACGTTCCTGAAGGTACCAGGCTACCTTGCACGTGCCACCTGCTGGCTCCGCCCTTAACCACGCCCCCTTCAGGAACTCTGCAGAAGATTCTCGGCTACACTTCCCCACATTCCTCACCTCGGCCCATCACGTGGTTCACCCGAGGCCGGGGTGACTCGTCCTCAAATGCCCCCTTCCGCCAGCAGCCCTCACCACGCTCTCTATTGACCATTTACGTGGCATTCACTCACTGTGCTGGCGGAGCGGCTGCTATCCCCTACTCTGTCGGTAGGACTCATCAGCCTTTCTCTGCTAGCACCCAGTACCACGCACCCTAGCAACCCACTGTGTGGTACTGCATGGTGTGCTAGCCTCTACACCCATATTTCCTCATTCTACTATACTTAGCTCTACGCGCTGCAGTGATCCATTCTATATGACTACACCTGTACAAGACCTGATCTGGTACTCTGGTCTACCTCCCACATGTCAAAAAATTATTCATAGAATTAGCCAGACATCCCCATGCAGGACCCTCCTGAAATTGAATCTTGAGGCTCAGGAAGACTTTCCTATGCAAAAGTCATTATTATTATAATAATAAAGTTCATTCTAGGCATACAAATATGGAATTTCACGTGTCTGCATTGTTAAACGTAATTTATAACTCATGATCTTATGATTAATATGTCGCCTAAGGACAACCTTGAACTGGCTTGACACTAAATTCCAGGGCGGCTGTAAAAATGTCCGCGGTGAATTAGGAGTGTACTTCGAGTCAAATGAGTCAACTTTATTAAGACATCATTTGCACTTCGTCGACCTTCCCGTGGTATACACGTCGATGGTGACTGCTACATGGGGCAGACCGCTGGGCGACGAGGACAATCGATGAAGAAATACCGTTGTGATCGAGATAGGTCGGTAGGAAAGGATCCTAGACTTGTCGATATAAAAAAAAATACAATTTAAGAGTTACGGACACCGAGGGCAGTCAATGAGGTGCACAGACAGGTGGACGGTAGCAAAGGGCGTTGTTGTTAAGATCGTGAACTCGATGAAGGAAAAGCAATGTACCCGTTGCGGAAAGAAGAACGTTCCTGCAGTCCCTGCAGTCACGAAAGCTTTAAATCGAAAAAGAACGTTGTCATTTGGAGTGTAATACTTGCTTTCACATGCGGAGCAGAAATATGGACACAAAGAAACCGGAACAAAACTTTAAAAGTACGCACTGATGCATGGAGAGGTGCACACTGGGAATTACACAAGGGACAGAGAGAGAACAACACAAGGATCAGAGAGAAAGGAGTTCATAAAATCACATAGACTACCAAGACTCAAAGTTCAATACAGACAGATTCGCTTACTCCACCTCGTCACCCCAGCCAGGCTCTCGCCGATGTACTAACCAGGCACAGCCCTGCTGAACTTCTGAGGCCTAACAAGGTAGCGTCATTCACGGTGATTTATCGTAGGAATGCATTTCCTGTGTGGTCGTCAATCCCCTCCCTATGCCACAGATGTACAGCACAATGACGCACATAGAACTCGCTGGGAACTGAGACATGTGAAATAAACAAAACGGATATGTAAACACCGATAAAAATGTGTCATTTACACCATCGTGAACACATAGGTGACTGGGCGGAAAGAAAGCGCAAAGCTGCTTTAAACTTGGTGGGACTTGGCTGCGCTTTAGCAGCGAGCGGATGAACGCGATACGAAGAAGACAACGGCTGTCCGTAAAATAGGTCACACCGCTGTGCACAAACACTGCACCGGGGTGGGGGGGTCAGGGCGGACACGCCACATGTGCCGACACGCGACATGTGACATGTAACGACACGCAACATGTGATGCCACGTGACATATGACGACATGCGACACGTGACATGTGACGACACACTGCGGTGTGAACTATCTCATTGACAGTTATATTTGGTAAAGCGTTAGGCCGTCCCTTCCCAAAACATGATACAGCTTGTGAGCTATACAGGCAGAGCCCAGGGGGGTGCGGATATGTGGCCTGACCCCCAGCAGGACACAACCACGACTCTTCCGGAGAGAGAGGCCACCAAAAGCGGCAGGCATGCCATTCGCCGGCCACGGATATTTTCTCCAAGACTTTCGTATGCCCTGCGTCGCTCGGAAGAGCAGTTCTGCCATCTGCCAACGGAGCACCACCGCCACCACCAGCAGCAGCGGCGCGTTTCGGAGCCTACAGAAGCCGCTCGGTGTTTGTTCAGCTGAGGCCTGGAGGGTATGTGATAGTGTACATCAACACCCCAGGTTATAAAGTTACCGACTTGGCAAGACAGTAGGAATTCATCCTTCACGGGTTTGTCCCAAGGACAATGAGGTACCTTGTATGGGATTTTTTTCTCCTCCATATCGCAAACGCATACACGGTATAAAATTATACAAAGAAGATGAATTTAAGTGTCAAGCCATAGGTTATCTGCAAAGGGAGATTGGTCGCTCTTGCTGTGATCGTTGCATTTCTAAAATAAACAAAGGGCTATTCAAGCCGACATAACGTCGTGAGCTTCACAGATCTCTCCAACACATTTGTAACTGTCCAGACCTAAATGGCACATTCTGGGAAACCCACACAGAGTATTTTACAAGAACATCTTAGGGAAAATGCTGGCATTTCTCAAGGACTCTCAGGGTTTACAGTATTTTTCTATTTAAAACTAAGGTTCTGATGAAAAGTAAGTAAAACGAATAGCTTTCTTTAAAACATGTTGGAACTGTTAGACATGTTTTTTTTTCTTTTGCGGTGGAGTAAAGCATAATTTAATGCTGCAATGTCCGTGGAATGTTTTAACTTATTTTATAGAACACGTAAAGAACACGCACATGTATTTGATTGAGTTATCTTTGCAATGACAATGCAAGGAGACCAACGCTGGATAGAGTTCATGCAATTCTTGTCTTTACCGGCCTAGTCATGAGAACCCACGATCACAGTCACGCCAGCCCAGTCTTGTGACCTCTAACCTTCGAGCCATCTGGCCTCCTCCAATCAAAATTGCATTCTGGGATGAGCAGTGAGCCAGCACCACTGAGACCCTAGGTTCAAGTGCAGGTACAAGCGGTGGGTTGACATCTCCTTTTGAATTGAGGACGTGAGAGTATGTGAATTATAGATCCAAGACAGGAACGAGCTGGATTCAGCCTGCAGGCAAGGCAATGGGCTTCGCTTGATCGGTCCAAACAACGCGTGGCAGATGCGGCTACTTCAACCGCAATTGGAAAATGAAAGAGACAGCGTGTTGTGAATGTGGTGAAGTGCAACGCTGTTCGTCGCCCTCCTGCTCAAGGACGCATTGGGGCGGTGTTCACTTCCGGTCTATGGCGCTGAGCCAGTGGTGGGATTCCACATTCCTACAGCGGGAGCGAGTCTATCCACATGACAACCACCGGTGACTTCCTCACAATCTACTGGGCTGAGTCAACCCCCAAGCGAGATGTGAACTCGCACATGGCCAGTTCCTCTACCACTGCCCGTTGAATGCTCACACGGGAGGCACGAACGCTACGCGTCAACCATAAGACAAGTTTTCTGGGTTAGATCGCGTGAATATAAATGTGTCATTAAACCCACCACCACCTGACACAGACAATTAGTAAGGGTTGTTACTGGTACAGCGACATCGGTGTGTTGGAGAGCAAATCCACAACATTTACAATCTGAGTATGACGTTTTAGCAGTAATTGCAACTAGCTTCATCAGGCGACAGTCAGATTTGTGGAAAAAAATTCTCCGCTTCCGTTCCTTAAAGAGGGATAGATGTGATGGCGTCACGTGTGAGCCCTTCATGTGCGAAGAGGGAGGGGGGGATTAATGAATGCATATAAATGTGTCCATCATCTTGACACGTAGAATACAGAAGGTGGTAAGGTGTTCAAACACCAAATAGACACCGATCACAAGGCATCAAGTCTGCATTCCCCACACAGCAGGCTTGTGGTAAAACAATAAACAGCTTGTGTGGGGCATGCAGACTTGATGCTACACATCAAGCAACTCTTGGTGCCATAGAGTGGATCACCAGGCTCAACAAAGCATTTCTATGTTTTGCCATTTGTTTTTTTAAACGCCAAACGCAAGTAGAATAGGACGGAAGAAGAAGACGTAGGGAGACGCAGAAGGAATAAGAGGAAGGAATAAGAGGAAGGAAGAGCCACCTTTCTTGCGGTAGAGTCGTGCGGGCGGCTCGAGCACGCCGAGGCGGCAGTGGCGGCCCCCCCGAGCGCCGTGGCTGCAGGCGAGCGTCTCGGCGTGCAGCACGCAGCGTGTACGGTCCTCCAGGTGACGAACCCCCACGGACGCACACCACGGGCTCTGCTGGCACGCTGCGAGTAGGGAAACGGCGACCGTCAGGCTGGCGCTGCGGGCGACCCACGTGCACCGACACAGCGTCGTCGGTTCCAGCTGGATTATACGTACGTGCGTTGAACTTCTTTCGCGCCGTACGTAGCCGTCCGTGCTAATCGGAGGTGCGCGGGAAGGACAACAAACTAAACGCAAGAAAGATTGAGCGTTGGGTGGTTGATCATTGTCTGCTAACAGGTCTGGACATTCGACATGTCTATGGCAAGAGAAAGTCAACTACGATTCTAACTGCATATCGCGACATTGGTATAGTAGAAGGGCCTCCAATGGAGGGAGCTCTAGAGAGCCCCTATAAAGGGTATTTGGCCTACTCTTTTACACTGGCCAGACATCTTGGGAGAGGTAGGAATACTATACTTTACACGTGACCTGACCATCAACAATCCATTTATATAAATATCTATAAAGTCGTAGTTATATCTTTTGCAATGAAATATAAACAATTCTCAAAGGATGAAACTTTCACTCCACAATGTGCATACAAGCCCACTCGCTGATCTTCACAGTTTGAACAATGTCATGCACGTGTAAATGTTCCCTCTATGGCATGTGTTCTTCTTTCTGACTCTGTTTTTTGGGATGTATGTATATTGATCTTCTTTTGTACCGTACGTAGCCAACCGTGTTGATCGGAGGTGCGGGGGAAGGACAACAAACTTAACACAAAAAGCAGTTCTAAAGAAATTAGTTTTCAATCCAGATTTAAAAGTGCATACCTCCAGTGTCTTCACTACAAATAAACTCTTCTGTGTAATAACTGGGCTATTCTGACTGTCATTGCGCTAACGAGCATTCCATCCGATGACCTTAAACCAGGACAAGCTGCATGCCTCTAAAAAAAACCTCGCTCAGCCCCACACACATCACACAATTGCTTCGGGGCAATTCCTCACCACACCTGACAGCCAAAGACAAAAAAACTGTATAATACACAACCCACTGCTTAGCTAAATATATTCAAGAAACATCGCATGGAAACTATGCAGCAGGCATGAAAGGGCAGGGACGCACATAATGCCTCTCCACGGGGAAGACATTACCGGGCTCGCTTTCCTCCACCACCACCACGACGATGATGACGATGGGAGCACAAATTGTACGCAGCAGCGGTGCGATGCCGCGATGGCACCTGGGTGGGAGTGCCCGGGTTGCTCGCAGTGGCTCGCGCTCAGACATGAATCACTCTCTCCCCGGGCCCCTCCGACCTCCTTCCGGCCAGCAGCCGGCAGGAATGTGGCATCTCCGATTGCCTGCACGGCCGCCCGCCCGCTCACCCGCCCGCCTGCCCGCTCCCTAGCTCGCCGCCCGCCCGCCCGCTGTCACGGACGGCGTAACGTAAGAACTGTACGGCAAGTGCTTCCATTTATCACAATTTGCCTGAGAGCAATTGTGAAGTTTGCCTCGTGCCACGAGACAGAGAGAGGGATGGAGACCGCATTGGGCGTTCCGAAAATAGGAACCGTGGCAGTGTCCTGCCTCACAACCGCGCGGCCTGAAATATGTGTTTGCGTTCGCAACTCGGACGGGCTTTGATTGAGTATAATATTTAGATAGCTGCACGGTCCGCGAGAGACGGTACCAACCGCCGTCAATGATCGAGTCATTTGTTTATCTTTTCTATAACGTGCACATGTCAGGGTTAGGCAAATACTCCGAGGGATCTACTTTGGAGCCTAAATGCAACGTAAATAAAGCGCGACGTTGAATTATCTCCCGTTTATTTTAAAATCACATTTGTCTTACTCGGAGTGTGTGCCCTGAGCATTCTTTTTGGTTTTAGCAAACAATATTGGAATCTTGGCACGGCGCCCACAAGGCCACGTCTGATAGTGGCGGATGGGGGGGGGGCTCGGCATTGTTGCGTCAACAGAGCGGAGTGCAGATTCAAGAGCACGGGAAGCCGACGGGTGCCATCTCCGCTGCGCCCGCTGGCGTTGAGGTGCTCACGACGGCGACGAGACCGAGTGGCGGGCGGCGCCGCTTTCAAAACCTTTCACGAGTCGCAGACAACGGCGTCGCCGCTGCCCCACAATTCTCCTCCGGCTCCTCCGGTGACGTCAGGACGATGATAAATGGCAGTGATTAAGATTTTAAGATTGGCGCTAGAAAAATAATTAAAATTCCCCATCCCCCCCCCCCCAAACAAAAAATTCGGTCAGAGTTTTAGAAGTTGAAAGGGGGGTGCCGTGGAGATTGAAATCATCAACGTGGGGCGCAAAAATGGGTTGCAGATCAGTGAGGAAAAACAAACATGCGATGGAAAGGTTTGGGAAGTGGCGTACGGCGAGCGATCTGTGTCCCCTGCGGTGGTGTCAGCCCTCGCTCCACTAAAAAATACACAATGACACCTGCCAAAAAAAAGTCCCGAGGTCTATTCCGCCCAGAGCACTTCCTCCAAAAGCCTCGATATATTTGTCTGCTCCTCGGCGCACTCGGAGCGTGCCGAGCCCCCCCCCCAGGCTGCACTGCGTCTTCTCTTCTCCCTTTGTGTTCTGGCTCCGGCAATCTTGACAAATTAATCCATCCACCGGCGAGCATATGGCAACGATTGGAGAGAATTTTTCGTTGCTTTTAGAAAATGTATATCGGGTTATCCGCCGGCGCGCGCAATTACGGGGGACCGCGTCTCAGCGTTAACGATATTCTTCACGCGGGGTCCGTGACGATCGCAGGGCTACGGGGAAGGACGACGTGGCTCTGACGCAGCCACGACATCGCCCGCGCCGAACGGAGATTAACCTTCGGATACGGAGAAATGTAAACAGAAAACATCCTCCGCGTGTGCGCGTGTGTGTGCACGTGTGTGTGTGCGTGTGTGTGTGCACGTGTGTGTGCGTGTGCACGTGTGTGTGCGTGTGCACGTGTGTGTGTGCGTGTGTGTGTGCGTGTGTGCGCGCGTGTGTGTGTGTGCACGTGTGTGTGCACGTGTGTGTGCATGTGTGTGTCCCACAGGGCCAGTCACTCCACACCTGCAGACAGCCCCCACACTGATGCGGGTGTGGAAGAAACCGGCCATCACTGAACGTGTGGCTACGGCATCAGACAATCTAAGATGGACTCATGGGGAGGGGGGGGGCAAATCTAAGTGATATTTTGCTCAATTGAGTATTGATACAGTGCTAATCTCCTGACAAAGTGGTACCCATTTTATAGACCCCAAAAGAATGGTGGGCAGAGTCAAACCGGGATGCGAGCCGCTCACTCTGCCGCTGAGCCACCAGATTGTAGAAGATGTCAAACTCTGCAGTGCCACTTAAGAATCAGAATATTGAAAGTATTGCTGGGGTAGGGCACACATAGCATACGATGTTATGGTCCTGCTGAAGATAATTATCCTAAATTAGAATATAAATAATAATCACCATCGTTGTCAACATCTCTGCTCTATCCACTGATGGATGAAATGTACCCCATTGTCATCACCTCCCATAACGGTCACGCAGGATGGTCTCAACGACATTACTCACGGTGATGTGAGGATTGGACAGAAATTGCAAAAATATTAACCGTCACCGATCCTCTGATGCCATCGTAATGACATCAAACAGGAGTGCATGCTGCAGACTCCCCGACTCCCATTCAGAATGCACAGGTAAGGGAAAAAGCTTTGCAGAGCACACACACACAGAGGGGGACATGGGAGGTGATGGGATGGACTGAGCAAGGGAAAGGAGAGAAAGAAAGCAACTTACTCACACACTCTCAAGCCCACTGACTCACTCACCTGCTCACTCGCCTACTCAATCATTCAACTGTGCCCTCACCCATCCAGTCAATCACTCATCTACCCACTCACTCACTCACCCACTCGCCAAGTCACTTCCTCACCGGCCTTCTCACTTATTGGACCACTCACCCACTCACTCAGCGACCTGCTCCCTCACTCATCCACTCACTCACCTATCCGCTCGCTCTCTAACTCACCTACCCACTCGCTCGCTCACCAACTCACTCATCTACCCACTCATTCACCTACACCCTCACCAACAGCACGGGGTTGAAGAGGAAGGTTCTGGAGAGAGAGATGTGAAAGCAGAGAAAGAGGAGTGGGGGGGGGGGGGACCCTGGCAGAGAGTCGCGTGGGGGAGCGAGCTCCAGCCGATGGGGGCGAAGGAGCTCAAACGGCGGCCACCAACAGAGGAGCAGCGGATTTGGTGGCCTGTCGGCGGGCCTTACCTGCCAGGCACCACTCGTCGGACGGCGGCGCCGCTCGCGGAGATCCCCCGGCTCCGGGCCCCAAGAGAACGACGACGTCAAAGGCCGAGATGGTCGGGTCGACCGCGGCCGTGGAGACGTCCAGGCAGTGGAAGCCGTCGGCGGCGCCTGCGGGGTCCGAGCGTGAGAGGTTTGCGGAGCGTAGAGACGGACTCGAGCGGTAGCGGCTCGTTCGCGCGACGGAGTGCGCCGCCGCGGACCTCCGGCACGAGCGTTGGCCGCGACCGACGAAATCGTGGAAGTGTTAGAGGCCAACCAAGAACGTGAGCAAGCAGCGGACCAGTGGCTGCACGCCGTGCCAAGCGCAGTACCTTTGGTCGGAGCTGGAGGAAGACTCACTGCAGGGCAGAGCTGTGCAGTCTGGGGGCTGGAACGTGCTGAGGGTGACACGATCATGATGAACGGCTAAAACGACGGCTGAAACACCGATGAATTAGAACACGTTCTAACGCTCGTGTGAGCATAAAATTAATGAATCAAACGTTCACGCGCACGGTGGTCTCCCATCCAAGCATTGTCCAGACTCAATCCTGCTTAGCTTCCAAGTCCTGACAGAATCGAGCGCGTCCTGGGAAATTTGGTGGTGAGGCATTCTGTGCGTGTTACCCGGTGCCAATGGCTATGCATGCCGATAATCCAGCACCGTGGATGCAGCGAGCGTTGGTGGATCACACAGACACACACTCGTGAATCTCCATACTTACCTGTGGGCATCAAGCTCGCAATCTCCTGACTTGCCAGGTTATGTCAATACAGCAAGTGGGTTAATTTATATCCGAACAAGCATTGAGTGTTACCCTCTCCGTACGCGCGTGCTCTCTGCTTTCCTCCCACGTATATGAACCCTTGTGTACTGAGTCGGCCAAACATTCCAATATAGCACCAAAGATCCTGGGCAATTATCGATGCCAGTTGTGATTACATTCCCACTTCTCTCCCTCTCTCAGAGTGCACGGGAACTGTGCGCACAAACAAACAGTAAAAGATGACGATGGTGACTGTAGAGTAAAGTGAATTACCCTGTGCCCTGTACCAGCCGAACAGGGAGCTCGCCGTGTCCACCCCGGGAGGGGGGCACCCAAACGTGGCGCCCACCGGCGACTCGCGACCGCAGAGTTGCACGCCAGGGCCCGTGTGCGTCGCACACTGCAGCAGCGCCTCCCCTGCGGCAGGCGCACAGCAGCACGTGGCGTCACACACAGCAGCACGTGGCGTCACACACAACAGCACGTGGCGTCACACACGGCAGCACGCGATGTCACACACAGCAGCACGTGGTGTCACACACGTCTCACGCAGTGTCACACACAGCAGTACGTGGCGTCACACACGTCACACACGGCATCACACACAACAGCACGTGGTGTCACACACAGCAGCACGCGATGTCACACACAGCAGTACGTGGCGTCACACACGTCACACACGGCATCACACACGGCAGCACGTGGTGTCACACACAGCAGCAGTGGCATCACACACAGCAGCAGTGGCATCACACACAGCAGCAGCGTCACACACAGCAGCAGTGGCATCACACACAGCAGCACGCGGCGTCACACACGTCACACGCGGCGTCACACACGTCACACGCGGCGTCACACACAGCAGCACGTGGCGTCACACACGTCACACGCGGCGTCACACACAGCAGCACGTGGCGTCACACACGTCACACACGGCATCACACACAGCAGCACGTGGCGTCACACACGTCACACGCGGCGTCACACACGTCACACGCGGCGTCACACACAGCAGCACGTGGCGTCACACACGTCACACACGGCATCACACACAGCAGCACATGGCGTCACACACAGTAGCACGCGGCATCACACACGTCACACGCGGCGTCACACACAGCAGCACGTGGCGTCACACACGTCACACGCGGCGTCACACACAGCAGCACGTGGCGTCACACACGTCACACGCGGCATCACACACGTCATACACGGCATCACACACGTCACACACGGCATCACACACAGTAGCACGCGGCGTCACACACGGCAGCACGCGGCGTCACGCACAGGGGTGCGTGGCGTCCAAGCACCACAATTGGGGTCCTGCGGTGGCGAGATGTTAACGACCTCGCCTGGTATACAGGAGGTCGTGTGTTCGGTCTTGACCCTGATGCCTGCTGCATATTTGGAGTTTGCATGTTCTGCTCCATGGTTGCTTTGAGTTTGGTCATTTGGTTTTTCCCTCCATAGAATGTTTGGCTGCTATACATTTCCACGTGATGAGCCACTTCATTAGCTATCATTTGTGGCCTTACTTGGTAAAATAAGAAAAATGTGTTCAGTTTTAGTTTAGTTCAATTGCTTGTTCGTGTCGCTTATGGGGGAAGGTTCTCCGCTAGTGGGGGATCTGGAGAGTCTTCTGATAGCCCCTCGAGGAGGGATTTGGTCTCTGATCTTCCAGGCTGGCCAGACTACTTGGAAGGGGGCTCCGTATCTTACAAAGAAGGGCCTTAAAGATGTAAGCCGCGACATCAAGATTGGTTAAAGACGTGTACGGGCTTTGAAATAATATTCTCCTTTCCCTGACATACTTCCCCATTGTTTTATCGGAACATCCATAAATGGATCACCTTGCATAATTAACACGCAGCATCTCCGCATAATTTGCCAACCGGAAATTCCCCGCGATCGGTTTCTGCCGTACGCCTGGAGACATCCCGAGAATCAATCTCGGGCCGAGTGCGGCTCTCGGCACTGCCGCTGCGCCTCCTCGCCGCGCGCTTCTCCGTGACCCTTGACCCCGAGCCGGCGTGGGTGCCCCCCGCGTGGGAAGTCGTACCACTGGAGAGCGAGCTCCGGAGGAAGGCGAAGCCCTCGCAGCACGGGTCCTCGTCGCACGTCCGCTCGCACCGCGAGAACCTGCCGGGCAAACACGCGCCCTTACCCACAGTGCCCTCCGCATGCTTTGTGGTTGAACCGCGTGTCGTCCGTCACACGGTATGATGATGTCAGTGGATGTCAGATTGTCAGCTGCCAGCAAAGTGGAGCGACACGCTGTGTCGAACAAATTGTGCAAAGAAACGATGCACGATGCATGCTGAGAATTACACTGAGAGACGGGAAGACGATCAGAGGGATCTGACAGCAATAACGAATTGGGACATCGTACTGACTGCAAAGAAAGGTGAGAAGGCTTGTGCAGGACGCATCACTCGAAGGGACGCCAATTAATGGAGTGTGCAAGACAGACTGTGGCAAAGCGGGACCATAAGAGGCAGCACTTTCGTGGGGAGGCATTCATCCAGCAGTGGATAGATTATGGCTGATGATGATGAATAATGTAATTGAATACATCGTGCAAACACAATACCCGCTTTTGTCTCCCCACCGCTGATGTTGCACATTCATTTAAGGCTGATTTGACCTAGAGCAGCCTCAGGACCGGTTCAAATATTCACCACTGTTATTGGTCGTGAGCGGGAATTGAACTTGGGTGGCACAGTGATTAGCGCATGGTGCGCACAGTGATTAGCGCATGGTGCGCTAATCACTGTGCCACTGCTCCGTACGATTGTAAGACAAATATCCCCCTGATAGCCTTAACAGACTGTTGGGGCAAGTGCTGTTAGCGAGCACCTATGAAGGCCTGAACGGCACACGAGGGGTGGGTGGCCAGCACCACGCCCGGCCGCCTTTGTCTTCCTAGTGCTGATGTTTTTAGGCACTGCACCAGGTACTCATTTGAGGCTGAGTCGACCTAGGGGAGGCCCAGGACCGGTTCAGATAATCGAACCCGGGTCGCCAGGTTCGTAGCGCAGCATAGTGCTAGCCGCTACACTACCGCTCCCCACAATTGTAAGCACACACACAATCACAATCAGACACAATTACACGTCAGTTGGCTGCGAGCAGAAAGCTGCAGCAGCCACAATTAGCTGTTCTGTTTTGTTAAAGCGGTTTAAACGAATGACTTTGTGCCAAACGCAACATCGACCCTGATGGATTGCCTTTGCTTTGTCATTTTGCCAAAGAAACAATGTTGGTACAAAGTACTGTATCCAGTTTATGTTTTTAAAAATAAAGTTTATGAACACTGAGTTTACCCCTCAAATTGTAATAATAGTAACAGGCATCTTGTTAAACAAAATATTCTAAACTCGATATTTAACAGCACACACCGTTAATAATTTCCTAATGTATCGATTCAACAAAACAGTTTGTGATTTAAAAACATGTGGGAACGACCTCCTCTCACTGAGCCAGTTTGTGGAAATTCCTCATTCCTCTGGCAGGGGCTGCGTCTATCCATAGTACTGTCGACTTCCCCACAAAGTGGCACTCATTTACCCAACCCGGATGGATGATGGGCAGAGGCAACCCACAATGAGGAATTGCCAGCGTGCGAGTGTGCGCCGTGCCGCCTTACACGCAGGGTGGAGCAAGGGGAGTGAACGATTAGCATTCAGAAGGGTGTCAGGCCTTGACCGTGAGCGCAGAGCAAGAACCAAGCTGGTCGTGATGCATTCCATCTGTCCGCACGTTGGCTGCGATAAAAACCGCGGCCCGAGGGCTGGTAATGAATCGGCGCGCGTACAAGCGCTCGTTTGTAGTTGGCGCACAAAGAGCCAGGGGCGCTCCCGCGTGTGAACACGGACGGAGTGAGCACACACGCACACGTACGCACACACACATTCACGCACACACACATGCACACACACACATTCACGCACACATGCACACATGCATGCACGCGAGCACACATGCACGCACACACACATGCACGCGAGCACACACGCACACATGCACACATGCATGCATGCGAGCACGCACGCACACGTACGCACACACATGCACGCGAGCACACAAGCACGCACACATGCACACATGCATGCACGCGAGCACACACACGTGCACGCACACACACATGCACGCGAGCACACACGCACGCACACATGCACACACACATGCACGCGAGCACACACACATGCACGCAAACACACATGCACGCACACACACATCCACGCACACACACACGCGAGCACTCATGCACGCGCGTGCAGCTCCACGCGCGGTCCAGACGGGCCGACGGGCGTGCGGTGATCGCAAGCGAAAATCCGCCAAGTTACCATGAGGAGGTAAAGGTGCAGCCCAGCAATTTCTTGATTACACCGCTGCAGACGGAAAGCCACCCACGAAAGAGAGAGAGAGAGAGAGAGGCCCTTCAGAGGGTTATTGCCATAATCATCGTCAGCAGCCATGGTCAATCCACTGGTGGACGAAGGCCACCCCAAGTTACCCCACACCTAGCACCCGCACACGAACTTACATCCTCTCGGGGATTATCAGCTTGCGTGCAGGTGTGGAAGTACAGTACCCACACTTCACCCCACCTAACACGACCTGCTGATTGACGAATGGTGGCATGCCCATTCATACTCCTTGTGTGGATAGAGGTCGAGTGGGGGGGGGAGGGGGGGTAGGTGGGAGGTGGGGGGAGCGGGGATGTAGCCGGGCGGTGGCGGCTACGCCTCCGCACGTGGCTGCATGTCACCGCGCACGGTGGCGGCAGCAGCGATAGTTGGTGGATCACGGCACAAGTGTCGTGAAACTCCCTTCCCGTGGGCGTCGAGGTGCCACATACCCCGGCTCGCCAGGAGAAGGCGGTACAGCAAGCGGACTTATCGCCACCTGTTTTCATCTGTACGGGGATCGAGCGTTGCCCTCTCGTGCGCGTGGGGTTTCCTCCAGGCACCAGGTTTCCTCCCACGTGTATAATAAAACACTCATCGGGAACTGGCTAAAAACAGCTTGAAATAAAACCCCGTGCAGGATGCTCCTGCAAAAAGTGTCGTACAACTCATCGCGTCTCTCCTGCACAATTATTACTATTGGAAGAAACCTGCACTTTCGTTTCATCTGCCGCGCAGGGAGATGGAATGGAACCGGCGAGCTCTGGATCGCAAGTCCAGGGCGCTCACCATTCCACCACTGCAGCAGCAACTAAGTTACCATAACAAAGCACAAACACGCGTCCTAGCAGAAACGTTTTAGCCAGTGCAAGAGCACAAAAATTTACAGAAGATACTGTTACGCGTTAAGCATTTGAGAAACCATTATTCATTCTGTTGGTATAGTAACCGAATTAAAAACCTCATCAGAATGTAAATAGAGCTCACACTGAGAGAAGATGAAATACCATTACAGATGTTTGGCTTCTCTGAGCCACTTCCGCAGACAAGGGATGGCAATAATCACGTTTATTGAGTTACAACTTGACCTCATCAACGAGCGGCCGCTGAAACCATCTTACATTCCACACAGACGAATGAAAGCCTCACAATCCTCACGGTGAACAGGTGGCGGGATGGCAGAGGGCTCTCCGTGCCGACAATCGCAGCGCCCTGCATGAGGAATCACAGGCTGCCCTGCTGTAATGGCCAGCACACTGGACTTGCAATCCAGAGGTCACCGGTTCGAGTCGATCTCGCAGTGAGGCGGTTAAATAATGCTGCAGGTTTCCTTAATCCGCCACCACCGCTGTGCGCCCAGCGGTATACATCTATACGGCGCAGGTAGGCGATCGGCAGATTAGTAGCGTGTGGTGGGGTAAAGCGTGGGTACTCCCCACGTGTTTCAAGGCGTACGGCCGGCGTCTAAGAGTAGGCTAAAATAGAAAACTCGTGGAATGAGAAATTAATTGTAGGTTCAGTAGACAGACGCAGAATGCGACGGCTCAAGGCGTGACAAACGCGCGCGGAGATATTATCTCGAATAATTAATAAGGCAAGCAAAAATTTTATACGTAGGCTTTCACGACCAATATCATCCATAAGAGGTTTTTGGGGTTAGATCGCGTAAATATATAAATGTGTCGTTAAACCCGTCACCACCATCTACGCCTCTATATAAGGAACGAAACAGGTGGACTTCACAAATCTGGCTGTCGCCTGATGAAGCTAGTTGTAATTACTGGCGAAACGTCATCCTCAGATTGTAAATGTTGTGGCTTGGCTCTCCAACACACTGGTGTGCTGTACTAGTGACGAATTGGCACTTTCCGCTTACATGACAACCCTTTCTAGTTGTCTGTGTCGGGTGGTGGCGGGTTTAACGACACATTTATATATTTACGCGATCTGACCCACGGACTACTTCCGCCACCCCGGCATTGACCGTCTCTGGGAAGAGCCGCTGTGGAGCGTGACAGCAGCCACGAGGTACGGCGAACCACGGCGGCACGGCCCAGCGGCTCGAGCGTGAGATGCGCCCGCCGCGGGCACGAGGGCCAAGGCAAACAGGGCGCTGCTGCAGCCAGCACGGCGCAGCGAGGCAACTTGGATGTGAACTGCTGGTGAGAGCGATGGAATTCGCAGTGAAAATAAACAGCGTCGATCCCCGAGACGGTTCTCGATGCGCGCTTCAGTCCCTGGCGTCTGCTCATGTTCCAGGTAGCAGCCAGAATGGAGCTTTCATTTTGCACTTAGGCTCTCTGCCTTCTGGGTTTATACATTTTGCTGCGTATATATTTATGTACAGTGGGATGGAGTTGTGTGTGTAGAGTGGTGAGCGCGCTGTGCTATGAACCACTGGTGTGCTACTGGCGTGTTACTGGTGTGGCACTGAGAGCAAGGAAGGGGAAATTTCCTCCAGATATTTGGCAATCCATTACCATTCCAACTCTATTAGGTGATGAGGGATGAGTTGGGAAAACGTTTTGTTTTTTATATACATAAAGGGTGCAATAAAAAATAGTTTGGAAATATTGATTGCTCTTGTGTAAAATCATGTCCAGCCCTGTACCAATCCACTGCTGGATGAAGGCCTCCCTCTGCTGGGTCGGTGATAGTGGTCATTTGATCATATTTCACTGTGCTGATCAGTGCGGGTTGGTGACGGAAGAGGCCAGGATGGGTTCAAAT